ATTCTCGCATCAGTAATGATGGAGGATATGATTATCTAGTACATTGGAGAGATTACTCCAGTGCTCATGACTCATGGGAACCTTGGGAAGAGCTTCACAACACTACTGCCTTCAGGGCATTCCGTTGTCAATATCTCCAAGATCCTCAACACCACTTCCCATCCATGAGGTCGACAGAGTCAAACTCTAATATCAAACAACCGACACAACAAGACACTTCCACAATTTTGAGAAGACCTCAGCGTAGGTCATCCCGGCTCAGGGGACTTCGCCCTTAGAGGGGGAGCTCCTGTCATGAATCACACCATCACGTGTTCCTTGTTGCGCAAAACAAGTTCAACCTCCACTTTCGTGTTTTAATATTTCACCTCTGCTCTCATGCCTATCAGGCATAAACTTCAAGTATCATTTTAGTATGTCGGTGTTTAGCTCTCATGCCTGCAAGGCATAAGTCCCCAGTAATTCTCTAGTCTCTAGTTCCTCTGTTCTAATGCCTGCTAAGGCATAATCTCTCAGTCTCTTGTTCTTGCAGCACGTCTATGTTCTGCATAGTTCCTCATCAACCACCTTCGACAAAGTTGAGCGACTTCCGGCGCATCCCGTAGGATGTCATAGTAGGACGTAGGTAAACACAGATATGGCATCGTAGGATCTCAGTGGTTATCGGTGGGATGCAAGGCAATGCATGCAGGACAGTGCAGGACGGTTCAGGACGCTTGTATTCCGCAGGTCTGCACGAGCCTCTTGGAAAAGGCTGATTTGTCTATATAAACCCTATCTTGTACTCTGTAGTCTTCTTTAGTTCTTGATCAAAAGTCATTTCCATTGCCACCCTTTTGGAGTCCAGTCCAGTCCAGTCCAGTCCAGTTCCCTCTAACCTTGTAAGACAAGCCAGAGACATTCCTTGGGTCACAGTCCCATTCCTTGTTGGACTCAGTCTTGTTAACTTAAGTATATTCCTTGTCACTCCTAGTCCTTGTCCCCTTGTCCTTTGTCCTCTGTCCCAGGGTGGGCAGTATCCTTGACATCTGGCTTGATGCACGGAACATCAAAACAAAGAGACCTACAAAGAAACTCGACTACAAATACTTGGGGCCATTCAAGATTACTCGACAAATCTCAAGTCCCGCATTTCAACTTCAATTACCATCGTCCATGCCAATTCACAATGTATTCCACATCAGTCTACCTGAACCTTATAAATCAAATCAAATGCCAAAGCACATCCAACCACCACAACCACCTGTGGAAATCAATGATGAACTGGAATATGAGGTTGAGAAGATACTGGACATGAAGGTAAATGACCCCTTCAGAGAACCTGAACGCTATCTGGTAAGATGGAAAGGTTATGGACCGGAGCATGACACATGGGAACCACCATCACACCTTAACAATGCTGCAAAGCTACTTGGGGAGTTTCAAGCTTCACATCGCAGCGGCGGTGCCAAGGAGCATAGCAGACCCTCAGGACAATTGCGTTCTCCTCAGAATTTGACATAGCAATCATGTTGAGACAGCCCAATAAGTTTATACAAGGAAGTATTTGAGGCCGGAAATGATAGTGGTGTATCGCAAGAAGAACACAGGAAAAGGAGGACAGGACGAAGCATGTTTTAGGACCCATTGGAGAAGACTTGGAATCCTTGTAATCAGGTTGCTTAGAAACAGAAAATGCGACACAAGAAAGTCCACAAAACCGTCAACAGGGAATAGGTCACGGCAAGGTCATTCTAGGTTCATGCAAGCGGAAGACTCGCACGGACCAAATGAAGATCTGCCTCCATTTCCTCATCTCTTCGATATACGATAATTGGAGAATAGATTATGAAAGCCACAATGAAGTTCTCTGGGGGAAAAATTTCAAAATACTACAATTAGATGTATGAGATGAAAATCACAAGGGACATCATTGAATTTGTGAATGGAACAAGACAAATTGAGGACAGAGACCATTGAGAGGAAATCAGAACCAAAAAAGCGTTAAATCCAGCACAAGCAACACTGCATACTTGATACTATAAACATGGAATCACAGACTTGAAATGGATTTTCACGTTTAACACGAGAGAACACTTAGAAGAGACCCTGCATTTCCTTCTTTGCAAGGTTGGCGGATTGAAGACATTCCCTTGGGAGTCATGTCACGGACCTTGTAGGGATGACATTTTCTGTTTGTGCCCATACAGGACGAACAGCCAAGCCCGTTAACTATCACACAACAACGATCACCACGAGATTTCTTGGCACAATATTCACAAGCGAGGACCGGGCCGACCGAAGATCCATATGTTTCAATAAAAAGAGCGTCAGCATGACGTTTGATTTTCTACGGGTCAACTCAGAGGACAACAATGTCAGATGACTCACACGCTTGAGAAGTTGTTCTTCCTTCTTAGCTTGAGCTCTTGTGAGAGGAATAGGATCAACGGTGGGTTTGATACGACGAAGTGCAGGACTGGCGGGTTTCTCAAATAGAATTTCCAGGTCAGAGTCCTGGTCAGAGATTTGAGCGCCTTGTTGATTGTCGTCATCATATGTGTTTTCTGGGTTGTCGAGATCGAAGGTAACCATCGGCGAAGCAGGAGAGCTTACAGGGCGATGTACAGGTGAAGTGTCATTAGATGGAACATAGGAAGGTGAAGTTGGGACTGCCGATACAATAGGGGATACCGGCGAGTAAACAGGTGATTCTGCCGCAGTATTGAGGGAGTCTTCCGAGTTAATACCTTGGTCGATATCAACAAACAACTTAGTGGTACCGGGAACAGTTGGAGGAGCACTCTGGGCACAACTAAAAAGGACAAATGTTTTCTGATTGATCTAGGATCAGTTAACAGAGCGAAAATGGGAGAAGAGGTTAAGAACAAACTTACATGAACCAATTTAGAACGGGGTAGATATCCGAGTATGGGGGTAGGAGTATCACGCCTCATTGTCACGAGACCAACTAACCAGCATTGGGACGATATAACAGTGCCCTTCAGAGGCAGCGGTCTAAACCACTGTGCTAAAAGGCCTATTAACCGGCGGTTACTGCATACCGCCGGTCGCTGGTTAAATACCCAACCCATACTATCACTATCACTATCAAACCAACTTGTCACTTTGTGACACTCATTTTGATAAATAGTGATGAACTGAGTGCAAGTGAGTAGAATCGAGTGGAGAAGACAAATGGGATGAAACGGGTCAGATGAAGATCAGAAGAAGACAAGACTCATGCTATATAAAAGAAAACAAGACACAAGAAAGGAAACGAAAACGGGACAAAGTTCGAGATGGAGCGGATCTAATTCCAAGGTTAGCCTGACACATTGGAATGGCTGAAAAGAAGGAACAGAGTGAATTCACACAAGCGGTGGAACAGGACCTAACGGAGGAAAGAACTTGTCCGATGCCGCAACTTCGGAGAACTAATAAGACATTGACTTGCGACACTCACAGGAGCTTGTGACGAATAGAGGAGGGGCGACTGTTATGACACCAATCAACCTAAGCCGACACCTAGCAATCTAAGCCGACACCTATAAGTCTAAAGCGTCACATGTTGACCAGATAAGATGGATATACAGTGAGGCATTTATGTGATTGGTTGAGAAAAGGTCAGAGTGAAGTAGTACCGGTTAGAAGATGATGTCTATATAAGCCCCTTTCACAGGGGCTCTTCCTCGTCAATGAATTATCATAAGTTACTCTCACAAACTTTGCCACCCACTTCACATATCCCAATTGCTTAAGTGACTTACGCCATAACGCGTCTACACTGAGGTGTTCTTCATCATCGTCCAATCCACTCTACGCTATCACTTCATATCTTGTCGCTGTTGTCCACTGAAGTTAGGTTAGGTCACTGCCTAGCTCTCAGGTCGTAACACGGGCGCAAAGAAGATTGTGAAGAATGAGAAGTTTAGAAGTGTATCTTTTGAGAATTCATCAATGAGGAAGAGGTCTCACAGAGGGGGTTTTTATACCCTTGCGCCTCCACTTTCTATCTGACCATGAATCCATTAGTACTGGATCTGTGGTGAAAAGCTGATTCAGCAATTGACCAATGATCCAGTAGTACTGGATTGTTGGTTAAAAGCTGACTAAGTGTCACGCCTACGGGTAGACTGCAGTTGCAAAGTACTGCCTTGGGTACTGAAGGGTTTTAGTCTCTGGCTTGTAGAGCTTGATGACTGCCTTAGGTACTGAGGGTACTGAGGTGTTGGGTTAGAACCAACTAGGTGACTTTCAAAGATGAAGTTCAACTTCAAGATGAAGATACATTGCTGAAGAAAGAAGGGGGAGATGTGCTCCTTTTATACCCTTCAAAACTAAAGTAGGTGTACTAAATAAAAAGCGTGTGAGGGATTTTCTAGCCAATCACATAAATGCCTCAAAGTGAGTGCACCGAGGGAAACTAATTCCAGCCAATCACATAAATGCCTCACTGCTAAACTGCTGAACCTTCCAGTGTAACGGTACTGGAAACACGATGACTAGGTCGCAGGTTGGGTCGAACTCGATGGATGTCTCGTGGAAATCTAGAGAATCTGGTGCTAATGGATCGTGTCTCCTCTGCAATCGATGTAGCCAAAGAATGATATTGAAGAATCAGCAAAGTTGGTACTTTGCTGATTGTACTATATACTGTCTACAGGTATCCGTCTCCTCTCCTACTGCAAGCGTCTACGTACATACTTGGACAGGTAAAAAACCGCTTTGAGCAAACCCAGTGGGGAAAATCTCGAAAGGGGAAAACCCGTCCCTACCTACTGCAGCACTGCCTCCAACTCCCGCTTTCCTCCATCCTAATCCGTCGAACTCGATGGAGTTCTCTCGATTCGTTGTTACCCCGTAACATCCAGGCTTCAGCCAATCACGTAAATGCCTCACTGCTGAACTGCTAAATACCATGACTCATATTTTCCTTCAATCCTTATCACAGTTCCTAGCATGAGTCATATTTCCTTATCACTATTCTGAGCATGAGTCAGAATTCCTTATCACTATTCATGACACTAAGCTATGATGTCATTGCTGAATAAGCAATTGACCAAGGATCCAGTTGTACTGAACTCATGGTTAAACTCTGATAATCCTAATTCTCCTTTGTCACCCTAATCCCATGTCATCATGTATGACCTGCCTACGCAGTGTCATAACAGTCTAACTTCCGCTGTACTTCTGCTCCCATTGTCCCTAACCCCCCCTAACTCCATCTAACTCCGCCGCACTTCGCCGTCCTTATGCTCCAGACCCCTGTATACCTTATTCTCCCGTTGTACTTTGCCGTAGTTGGTCTCAGATGTCCTAGGTTACGTGTAGGGTGAAGAGGTAAAAACATGATAGGGGTTTCGATGGTCAAAGGAAGGTTGTGGATGGTGGGATATTTGAGGTGTCACAACGTTTTTTGTGACAAGTCTCTCATAAGGCTCTGGGAATGACGCTGGTCGGAAGAATCTGAAGTCAGACTTCTGGCTTGGTGATTCCAGTACTTCTGATGACAGTCCACCAAAATACTCCACAATTGCACTTATTGTTTTTGCTTCGTCGTCCAGAGCAATGGACACTGTGGCCCTGAGGCCATTCCAAATGATTTCCTCGGTTGGCATAACTGGACACGATTTGCTTTTTGGAATGATACAAGAGATGGCTAATCTCATCCTTGAGACTGCTTTTGCGTACACTTCGTAGATGTCTTCAAGGGCCATTTTTTTAAATCCTTCGTGTGTTACACTCTCTTGCTCCCACTTCCACAACTTGAAAATTGCCTCTGCAGTGTGTGTAGGTAAGATTCCAGTTTCTGTAGGTGAAGAACCAGGAAGATAGGCAGAGATGGTAATTGCATTGCATTTAGGAAATGGTTGGATCACCTTAATAGCAAAGTTCACACAATTTGAATCTAGATCAGGCTTATTCTCCTGTACTTGTCGGTAGGCTGTCCAATTGTCTTGTGAAGCATGGTGTACAAGGACTTGATAAGATGACACTTTTGTTGCTTCAGTCTGAGTCTGGGAAGGCTCCAAAGTGGAGGATGGATCAGAAATTGATGGATCCTGACTCGGTGAATTTGGCTCTTCCAGGTGCTCAGTGTACAGCTTGGCAGCGGCTGTCACACACTCTTCATGCTCTTTGCTGTCGAATGGCAGATGTTGTCCATGCATGGCATGTGCCATGGAAAAGATTGTCTCACTTATTTCACCCGGCAGCGGATCCACCATAGGGCTGATGTCACTGGACAGGACTGGCGCCCCAGGTGTGCTGTCACCGTGTGGCAGAGAGGAGGAGGTGAAGAAGTAGTTGTCATACACATGGCCATCCTTGGCATCATCACAAAACAAGGGGACCAGTATCAACTCATTTGGCTTAGACTTTGATTCTGACCTCCGGAACAATCGTTTTGTCCAGCTTAGTTTCCTGCTGACTGATGGTCCAGGTGTCAGAAGCTGGGAGTCCTGACTCATTTTTCTTGGTTCAGTGGTGAAACTCTGAGTGGGCAGCGCAAGACATTTCCGACGTTTATATCCTATTCGCTCAGATCAAACTCTGACCGCGTGGTCTCGGACGCGGTCCTTTCCATTTTGCTACGTCATCGAAGCGTGGGAAGTGGGTGGTTCGCACGAAAGCCTCTCATCTTAGAATCGACGGCCTTAGGGGGAGAATGACGAGCGAGAAAAGCAGATTCAACCAGGGAGGATGCGGTGCGGCCGTGTGAAATTTCCTTCTCGATTCTTCTTCTCCATTCACGACTTTCCGCGCTTTTCACGATGATGTCAAGCTGTGCTTGAAATACTCTCACACCACGGAGGATAGGTCTTCTTTATGTCCCACGATTCTCGGCCGGGTCACGATTCTCGTCGAATCGCCTCGTTGAGTTCTTCGATATCTTGACCCTCCGTTGTTGATGTCCGATGAGATCGGGGGAGCTCGTCACTGATATGCGTGAGAAGAAATGTGTCAGTTGATAGTGTGTGAAATGGGAGATTGCATGAGATGTACACGTTCGATATTCTTCGCAGACCTTTCCCACGCGCATGAATTTCCTTCGCTGGCTACCCGGGCTAGGCTCCAATCGTCTCGTTGTGGTCGTTATTGTCATTGAAATCATTGGCTTGTTGTCCGTATTGCTGATTGTCAGCATGTTCATATGGTAGAATAATATAGACTCACATTAACGTTGGATCTATTTGTCAGTACTGAGCTACAGGGGCGAGGATCGACGCTTACTGATTACGCAAAGCGTTGGCTGCCGCTTCTGCATCCACATCTGATGGTCAGCACTGCCTCTTTTCAAAGACGTGCTTCTCGAGCAGCATGGTAGAGTTTGGGCGGACAGATTATCGCAGACTTGTGAAAGTGTTGTAAAGAGGGAATATCGAGGAAGAATGAAGTAGTAGCCTTGACCGTACTGACCTCCTTCCTGCCGATAGCCAGGTGTAGAAGAACCCGTCTTGTACCCATGTTCCTCATCTACCGGCGAATCCGGTCCTTCTTTACCAACCGTATTTCCCATCTGATGTCGTCTACTGAACACATCGCGGGCATCTTGGTCCCCATATCCTCCCGTCGCGGTAGCTTCACGTCAGTCTTCTTCTCCCTCATCAATTCCCCTCATCCGCGTTCATCCGGCAAGGATCGGGAGTCCCTTCTACAGACATATTGCATGACATCTTGCAGCCCTCAAAGAGCCGGGATGCTGGAAAGGGATTTGTCCAAGTGGACCGATTTGAGAAAGCTATGCAGACTTACTATCTTCCGCTCCCATGCCTTCGTACGGACTCTGTCCCTGCGCTTGTGTCTGGCCCGTTGGCGGTTGAGTAGGCGGAGCAGCATGCGGGTTGAAACCTCCTCCAAATCCACCACCGGTGACGGCACCGTACATCTCCTTCGGGGCGAATTGGACCTCATCATCGAAGGGGGTTTGTTGATTTTGGTCTTGTTGTCCTGACTGAGGGGGTTGAGGCGTGGGATTGGGGTTGGCGTTTGATGCGCCGAGCTTACTGTCAATACATACCCTCTATCAGGTAGAATTCGGGCAGACGGACAACGGGGAGTTTGGAGCACCATCGGTCGGCGAATAACGATCGTGAGACGGATGAATTCTTCAGTCGCGGGGATGACCGTTGTTGTTGGGGAAGGGGGGGAGAGGGGGTTGTTTGGTAACGGCAGAGATATAGAGTAGAGCAGAAAAGTGAAATAATATCAGCATAGACAACAGAAGACAAACCTCATTCACGGCGGCCCCTGGTCATCAGAAGATGCGCGAACAAAGTGGAAGAGACTGACTGATGCTATCACCCAGCTGACCGGGGTTATCCATGATCTCCCTGGCTTTAGTGACGATCTGACAAGGTGAGCTATCTGCATCCTGGACATTGGAGAGCCAGCTCACGCTCTCCATATTGTTGTGGGTGGACCTTGAGTTGACACTTGGAAAGTGGGAGCAGAGAGTGAGAGAGGAGAGAGGAGTGAAGAGAGCGGGGGTGAAAGCAGCAGAGTGAGTGATCCGACCGCCGACGGTGACGTCATCTTCCTTCCCCGATGTTACATACTGTACAACTGACTGCCATCCTGCTCTGCGAAAAAAAAATGGTGTCAAAAGAAAGATGCATGACTGTGTACATAGAGAGATGATTGCATTCAAGCTCTAGAGAGGAAATCTAGTTAACGGAAACAAGCTTGACGTCGAACTTCAGAGTGGACCTGTAGCGTCAGTGACATCCGCACTGGAATCGTCAAAGCTTACCCTTTGGGAATACCAGGAATCTTTTGGTTGCCATATGCCAGTTGAGGGGGAATCTGGTAGGATTAGCTCTTTCCCCTCTACCTCGTCTGCACGACTTCTAGAAGATTATGTCACAGCTCAGGAAGCCGAGAACCCACCGTCAATCGTCTCTCCCCTCCAACAGCCATCCCAGCTAAACCCTCGTCCCAACCCCGAATAACCTCCCCTCTGCCAAGAACAAACGTGAAGGGTTTTCCGGCAGTGTTGGAGTCAAACTGCTTGCCGTTCTCAAGTTTCCCGACGTATCTGTTAGTCAGTGGGAGCACACGGAGTCTAGTCTCCGATACACATGATGGTCAACCTCTGCAGCTGAGCGTTGAAATTGAAGCTGTCAGACATGTGGTGGGAAGATGCTACAGTTTCAACAAGTACGATAAACCCACCTCATCCCCAGTCGCTTGCCAGTCCTCGCCGCGGGTCCATCTCCCGGCTTGACATCCTCAATTATCAGCCCCGAAGGCAGAGTGCGCTGTCGCGTCAGCTGTCAGTCCACAATCCATCAGCGATCCAAAGGCCAGTACTCAATGAATGCATGTTATAGATGATGTGCAAGCAGTCGATGCGAGTTCAACACATGTAAGATAACGGTATCAAGCAGTGTTGTGTGAAGTGATGAGGATAACTAAGCCTTCACCTTTTGACTCTTGGCCTGCTCGACCTTTGACTTTTCAGCCTTGACACCACCCTCGCCCTCCAACTTTGACTTCTTCGCCAACTTCTTCTTCTGATTCTTGCTCAACCCATCAGTTGACAGAGCTTCAGTTTTGGCGGGGGAATCAATCTCGTCGGCTTTACGTTTCAGAGGTTTGCTTTCTGATTTGACGGAGGATTCGACTTTGGCGGGCTTACTCTCTCCGTTGACTTTTGCAACTTTCGTTTTTTCCTTCTTAGCGGGTTTGGCTTCGAGGAGGTTATCGTCGTTGATCTCGGAAATTTTCCCACTACCCATCAGTAAAACTGATTATACTCGGATGTATGACTCTAAAATGATGAAGGCATGCCCGAGAATATCCTCATAAGCCCGAACATTTGAGACACAAGCTCGTACTCACGCAGGAATATCATCTCCGTAACGATAATAATCATCACCGTCATCAAAGCCCAAGTCTTCCGAATCGGAGTCAGAGCCGTCGTGGCCGTGATCGTGACCATAATCCTGATGGATAAAATTCCCCGTGAGATACACGGCACTATTGATCAGCTTCAATGAGATAGTTGAATAAGTGCGTCAACTCACTTCGGACCGACTACCTCGAACTCGGCTACGGTGCCTTCACAGATGGTAAGATTGACAGTCGCCTGTTCAATCTGACCGTAAGCTCATTACTCAATCTTACGATCTGTCAGCTTACCTTTCCCGCGGTCAAGGAGCAAAGTGCGACGGTGGTGAGAATGTCCTCATCGTCTTCAAAGCTGTCATCACCCTCACTGTCTTCCTCCTCTTCCTTGGCAGCTTTTGCTTCTGACTTTACCCCATTCACTTTAGGTTTTTTCTCTTTGATCACTTCATCCTCTCCCATTTCGTCGTCCGAAAGCTCAAACTCCTCCCTCAATTCCTCCGCCATATCGGAGTCGATGCTCTCATCCTCAGAGTCGAGATCGTCAATGTCTGACAGGTCGGCGTTCTGGTAGGTCAACTTGACGACAGATCGACCATCTGCAGAAGCGAGCTCCTCTCCGAGAGCAGCATTGGTGATTTGGAAATCTCGTCGGACATAGGAGCGGTAAGTCTCGCCTGGGGGTTAGCTGGAATGCTGGGTAGGGTCAAGCTGACTTGCCAGGAAGAAGGGCGAGGCTCTGAAGGGGTCAGCTGAGACATTTCAGGAGACTGCATTCGCTCACCCATATATCAAGTTTCAAAGCCATTTTGACGGTGGATTATACTTTTGATAGTCAATTAGGTTCAAGATGGTGCAAAAAGTGAGTGTCGGGCTGAAAATTCTTCAACACGGGTGAGTGGCAAGAAAGCAAAATCAACTTTTTTGATCCCGTATCTGGAGTAACGCCGAATTACCGACATGTGGCAGAGCCTTGACGCTCCTTCCTTCCTTCCGTCCCTGTGCAGCGCATCTGGGCCGCTTTGCATCTTCATCGCCTACATTCCTCTTGACATCCAAATATCATGGTCAGTGTTTTCTGGGAGCCCCTGGCGAGACGTACTTACTCATCAGTCAAACACCCTCAGACCATACCTCAACGCCGTCCGTGCGACTCTCACTGCCGCGTTGACATTGGACAACTTTGCCTCTCAGCAGGTCGAACGGCATAACAAGCCCGAGGTTGAGATACAGTGAGTGTCGCAACTTAAAACTCCCTCAGCCTCTCTCTACCTATCTTCTCCCGATACCGTCTCTCGTAGTCATTGTGACGCACCGTTCCATCAGGCGCCATAGAAAATTACTGACACACAGCACATCCCCCGAAGTCTTACTCCTTCCCCTCATCGTCTCCCGAAACGAATCCGAGCGTGTCCTCATCGAACCCTCTGTCAACTCTCTTCGACTGAGTATAGCGATCAAACAGGCCGATGAAATTGAAAAGATTCTATGTCATAAATTCACTCGGTTCATGATGATGCGTGCGGAGGGTTTTATCATTTTGAGAAGAAAACCATTACCCGTGAGTCGTATCCCTTCTCACATGACGTTCTTGCTACTACCCAAGTCGTTCTTGAAAATACGTTGTGTGATCGTTTCGTTGAGAGGCAATTGTAATGTGCGGTGCCGGCTGACACCATAGGGATACGACATCTCATTCCTCATAACAAACTTTCATTCCGAGTCAATGCTCAAACATAAACTCGTAGATTTCATCATACAGTTTATGGAAGATGTGGACAAGGAGATATCGGAGATGAAGTTGTCTTTGAATGCTAGGGCTCGTATAGTGGCGGAGAGTTATTTGTCAACTGTGAGTTGAACCTGTCGTAGCAATAAATCGACCCCACTGACGCACAGTTTGCATGAAATATGTATTATCATGATGACTTCATCTCCCCTTCTTCTCCGCAGTGGCCTGTGCACGACGACAGATGATCATACTGATACTTTCACTTGAATCCTGGCACCCTGTCTCCCCGACTACAATGGCGTAAAGCGAAAAGGTGTGTCGTGAGGCAGTCATAACGTCAGTTTACGAAAACAAGGCTGGTGGGTCAGCGCCTGTGTCTGTGTTCGTTTTGACAGTGTACTCTATATCCTCCCTGCTATGTTTGTGAGATATGTCAACTGTCACGTTCGTACGGGTACTGCATATGATGTTCTGTAGCATGTAGCAAGACCCATGTGACGCCGTTTTGCGACCGTCACAAGCCATAACTTAGATAACTGGGATCGGACCGAAAAGACGATGTGGCCATCTCCGGGATTCACTCCCTCCGTCCAACTCTCCTCCATCTTCCTCTCTTCTGTTCATACAACGCACACAAAGTCTTCCCTCAAGCACGCATCTCTACCTCCTTTTCACTGAAGCCCCTTGAAGTCTGACCGAGCCACACCTTATCCGAAATGTCATGAACCCCCTCACCTCGCCATGCTCCCCACTCCCGGCTCTGCACAATTCATCCCCGCCCTCATAGCACACATCGAATCATCCACCCCATGGACTTTCACTCAACCTCTAGCAGACCTTTTCGCGGCTATCCTCTTGACTCTCATAGTGAACAAGGGTGGATTGATACTTGATATCTCTCCGGAAAGTTTGGATGACGTGTTGGATCTTGCTCACGCTGTGAGGGTGGTGAGTGTTTCTTACTTGCCTCTGGCTTATCCACGGATTCACTCACTTCTTTCGAAATCACACTCATTCCGTCTGAATTACGCAGTTGTACAGTTCGATCTGGTGTACAACTAATGGTGGATAGACGCTGGTCACGTAAGATACAGGTCACCAATCACGGGTCCTCTGCTGGTGAACAGATCTCATGTTGACTTATAGATATGTCAAAACATCTTTGGTCTACCCACTTCCACCACCCATCTAGACCACAATTGCGATCAATCAATCTTACATCACTCATTCATATCCGATCCCCCTCACTCTCATTCTCATTTACTTACCTCCCCTCTCAACTCCGTTTCCCCCCTCAACACCAACTTCCGACGAAGGAGCAAAAGTCTCAGATCGGTCACTACACCTACTTCCCTCCGTCCCAGATCCAGAACGAGTACTTTCAGTGGGTATAGACATAGGTTATCTATGGGTACTAATACACCGCCTCTTGCTACGCATGATGAGCATACAGGGCCGTATCATCTTCATCAAGATCATTTGGCGGATCCATCGAATCCGAGCGAAACCTCGCATGGAGCAAAGGGGAACAATGGGCGACGTGATGGTACGGTCAGTAATGGCGATGGTCCGAAAATATCGGAAGGAGACATTCCAGCCGAGGAAGAAAAGTACGGAAAGGGGAGAGAAATGGCTCAGGTGGTCATATTGACAGGGTTGGAAGATACTCCCTCTCCTTTACGGGTCAAACTGGTTGATATACTGCTCAAACGTCAAGTGGAAAGACATGGAACGGAGGTAGATTTACCTGACACTTGTCTCGTTATCTGGATACGAAGAGAAGGGGCCAAAGGCGGACCGGGATGGTTGGTTGGTCACTTCTTGTTTCCTACGCTCATTCTGCTCAACTTCTCAACTGCCGGCTCAGATCATGTTTATGAACAATATGCAATGGTCGGTGCCCTCCTTGGTAGGGGCTAATAACAGGTCGACCAATTTGCATATTCTTCGCCGACGCCTTCACTAGTTGTCCCAGATTTACCTCACGAAGAATCCCAACCTCCCATCCCCCTTGCAGTGAGTATTCGCTTTAGTTTCCCTATCCAACTTGAAGTCACTCTCATGCGACAAGCTGATCACTTTGGATATTTGTCTGACTTGTCCGCTGATGATAGTACATCCAACATCTCCGTCTCCTCCTCCCTTTCACTCACATTCACCCTCCACTCCAAATTCACATCTCTAACCTTGTTTCTTCCCTTCATTCTCATCCTCGACTATCTTCCACCCTCACATCCCGCTTCGTCCACCTCTTACCTGACCTCGTCCGCGCTCATCGACTATTATCTCGTCCATTCGACCTTCCTTCAAATTGGGAATCCGCCCTGTCTTCCACGCAGATAGAAGGTGACGAGTTAGGTGTGGGAGGAGGAAAAGGGGGAGTGTTGACTTGGGCCAAGGTAGCAGGGGAGGAACCTTCCCTCTCACAACTTTATTCCATGACTGCAAAGGTGAACTCCCTCGGCCAGCCTCTTTCGGATTCAAAGGCGTCTGAGGATATACCTGAGGTGATGTCACAACAGATGGGTGTATTGCGTGGACTGTCAGGCGAAGAATGGGAGGAGTGGGAAGGCGAAGATTGGTATGCTTCACCACTCGACGTTTCGGGAGTGTTCGAAGGCTGTGTGAGACATCGGCTGGAATGGCGGGATGAGGGAGAAGAAATCATGTGGTTATTGAGAGGAGGAGCGGGGAGGTTGTTATCTGCAGATCAACGTAACGGTCGGTCAGACCAGCCAGGAAAAATCAGAGATGCGGTGAGGAGAAGACGTAGGGTAGAGAGAGTCATTAGAGATGTACTAGATAGTGTTTGATATGATTTAGGAGTAATGTAACTACGTATCAAACCCGACCATGTCACGCACATCATGCACATTATGCTTGGTTTGCAGTTTGTAGATGATTGCTGATGCATCAAACTAACCAACCCCTGTAAGTCGTTCCTTTCCCACCAGCGGAAGGCCACTGAACGACGAAAGTATCTACGAAAGGACGCAATAGTTTCCCAGATAGGGAGAGGGAACGCACTCTTGCGAAAGACTCGACGTAGATGATTCGGGTGTATGAGAGACCTAAGATCTGGTTGTCAGCTCTGGCCATTACGGTTGGCTGTCAGCTGAAGTACGCATCTCACGGAGGTTTTGTCAATCTCTCCATTCATCAGATGGGCTGGTGCCCAAATACCGTCAGATCGAAATTTGCAGCGGCATCCAACAAGGATTGTTGGCTTGTTGAGTAATGTGAGAATGGGAAGAGACGAGGTCGAGTGGAAGAGAAAGGTAGTGTGAAAGGTTGACATGAGGTGAAGTCATAAGGAAAAGCAAGGATGAGCGATGGAGAAACCCACCCGTCTGATCCAACAAACCAGGACCAGAACGACACAAGTCCCAGGTCCGTTCACTAATAAAACGTCCACCCAAGGTTTTCGAGGTTGAGTAAGAGGGACTAGAAAGGTGTACCAAATGACATGGAATAGAGTCCGGATGGTCGTGAGAATGGTTGAGAACCATGATTGTCCTACTTTTCTCGCTCGGGGAAAGGCGATACGAGAATAAGATGGTTGAGTTGAGTTCTTCTCCTTGAGTGGACGATCATCGTTCTTATATTCTCTGGACTTCCCGATGACCTGAAGAGTCAGCTCAATAGTCCGATGACAGCTATGAAAAGAAAAGTATATATAGCATTGTAAACGGTATTTGGATACTGGCATGGCAGAACAAGCTTGTTAAAGAATGAGAAGGAAGAAGTAGGTGATTGTGAACGAAGGTACCTCAGTGGAATATCTAGAAGACTCAATCGTCGAAATCGCCCTCAAGGACATTTCATCCCCCCAACAATACACATACACCCTTGGAGTATATCTCTCAAGATCTATAGTACTTAACAATGCTACCATCTCCGCCGTGTGACCCCCTTGAATTCAGCTGCTACCTCATTAACCAGTAAAGGAAGAAGACTGACCGGAACCTAAGAAAACCCCTAGAGAACATGTCTCTCCTGCTTGACGTTTAGGCTTCTGGTCTCTATATCGGATGAGAAGATATACTCTCAGCGCGAGTAAAGCTGGTATGACGACACTGACGAGAGAGAGATAGGACCGCCACATGACATGGTCGTCGAGAGAGTGAAAGGTGGAATGGGTGGGTATCGACCACGTGGAGAAGACTTTCCCGATCCGATCCGTCAACTGCTCGGTTATGAGGTTTACCCGGAAAGACGAGTTTTCATTTGATCCCGCTACTTGACCGAGTCGGTCGAGTACATACAAACTCACATACCCCAACTGACTTTGAATCTGACTTCGATAACATACAACCTCTAGCTTTATCTTTGTTTGAAGTATAGTGAGGATAGGGGAAAAAGAAGAAAAGACAAAATGTCAAGATTCAAAATATCGGCAGCTCTTTGGGATAGGATACATCATTTTGCTTCGTTCCCTCAAACGGGTGGTGAGTTCTTTGTCCCTTCGCTGGCACCTTCCATCTAGTGTGTCGTCGTTTCTCCGTCCACATTGATACACACGCTCCGAGCTCAGTAATCTCTGGTCAACGTGGACTTGCCAGCTACAGAGACGAGGAATATGACCAAGGGAGAGTGTCAACTAACGCACCAGTCTCGCTTCAGCAAATGATCCTCTTTGGTCAGAACCCTTCTCAAGGTACCCTGCTCAAAGCTTCACAGTTCTTATCGGAAGAGTTACCCATACGGCTCAGTCATAGGGTTGTTGAGCTTGAAAGTCTACCGGATGGTCTCAATAGGATGCCTAGTATAGAAAAGGTCAAGGAGTGGTATGCGCAGAGTTTTGAGGTGAGCCTGTCTCCGTCCAATCGCGTCCTCATACCGAGCCATAACCAATACTGGAGAGAAATTGAGAGTTCATGTTGAGGTTGTATGGGGAGCGACATGAGAGGAATTTGCTCACTCGTAGGAACTGGTCACTTTTCCTAAACCAGTCTTGAGCCCGGAACTGTTCGCTCAACTGCGCATGACACCGAGAGAGTACGTCGTCTTTCGCTTATACCTATAATCCCCTTTGAGCAGAGATCACCGTCCTGAGCGTAGTATACCTTGTCGGAGGTCTGCTGCAAGCTTTGTAGAGTGTGACTGAGCGAGGATCGTTCTGATTCAAGATACGCCGACTAACCACTCAGAGGCCAACATTTTCCTTCTGCCACCCCTAACCCATCACTCGATCCACGACTACATGAAGGTCCAATCTCAGCCCTCGAACAATCCTTTCCTTCCGGATTTACCGCCCCACCATCCTCCTCTTCCTCCTTTGTCCCTAACACCAACGGTTCCGGCTATGGAGCTCATCGGATGCGAATACCAATGGAAAGAAGATATTTCAGTCCACCACCTCCGACCACAAAATATCCTCCAGAAGTGCACGACTATAATGATAGGTGAGCTTTTGTGTAACCTTACAGATTTCATGCGTACAGGCTATCGATCCATCTGACATAAAGATTTACCAAGCTTCTGCAAAATATCAAGAAGCGACATGATCCCACAGTCACTACCGTCGCTCTGGGTGTGTTAGAATGGAAGAGAAAACAGAAGCATGGAAGGATAGGTCAGGGAGTCCAAGAATGGTTGGATAGGTTTTATATGAGCAGAATAGGTATACGTTTCTTGATCGGTCAACGTGAGTCGTTTCGTCGATATATAGGATCCATTCGTCATATTATCTCTGGGCGCGGGTTTGCACTCTACTTTCTAAATCGTAATCAGGAAAACCAGTGGAAGAGAGCGTGTCGCTTGGGAAATATTGACGCTCAGACATCGCCCTCAACACACTCCAGCCTCATCCTGACTACGTTGGTATCATCTGCAAACGCGCAGTGAGTCATGCTTCAAGCCTTCTCACCAGTCTTGTCGCTTTCCTATCGCCCGACCTCAATGCACCCGTCACTCCCATTGACTGTGCTGATACGTTACAGAACGTCCATGACATATGCCACGAAGCCATCGAGAATGCCAGATTCGTATGCGAGGAACACTATTCGTTGTTTAAAGGTCCACCCATACAGTTGTTGTGCGACAAAAATCTCACATTCCCGTATGTTCCTGGACATCTGTGAGTTCTTGCTCATGGGAGTAAATTCTTTCTTCCCTCGTCACCATATGCACCAGTCGTACTTTTCGACAGTGTAAGCTGACCTTCAACCCACTGTCGAAATCGTTCGTGTCGAGGGACGTTAGCTCACTACAGCTCACACATCTGTTTTGAACTCTTGAAAAACTCTCTCCGAGCGGTGGTGGAGCGTTACGGCGTAGACAACGAAGATTCTTTCCCTCCCATCAAAGTTGTGGTAGTGGAAGGTTCGGAAGATATAACCATCAAGATCTCTGATGAGGGTGGTGGGATTCCCAGGAGTGCGGTGCCTATGATCTGGACGTGAGTCATCATAATCCCGTATTCATATCTTCTTTTCCTCTTTTCCTTCCTCTTCTTCTTTTCCCCAATTCTGAGGAACGAGGCACGACAGAATATGGTTCTTGCAGGCACATCCCGCTTGGTGGAGGAGATAAGAAGGGATGAAAAGGACTAATCAACAGGTATCTTTACACCACCATGAGCGATGAAGGTCTCGAGGCGAATATCGAAAGTTCAGATTTCAAAGCTCCCATGGCTGGTTTTGGGTGAGTTCAAGGGATTGCCCCCACGATATCTTCTCCTGGATGTCGCATTTTCCACATGCGTTTCTGACGCAATGGGTTCCAGGGACGTCAAGAATGTAGAAGAGTGGGATATGTCGTAGACTGACGAACAGGTATGGTCTCCCTCTTTCCCGTTTATACGCCAGATTCTTCGGTGGAGACCTTCGTTTGATCTCAATGGATGGGTATGGTACCGGTCAGTCATCCTCGTCATGTCATATCCCTCGTGCACTCCATGTCCAAGTCCAAGAACCACCACTCGGATTTATGGAGGGTATGCTGACCGGCAGATGTGTATATCCACCTCAACAAGCTATCTTCCAGGTGAGTACTCGAGTACCCTTAGGACGACATGGGAAAAGAGCTGATCAACAGCCGTGAACCCCTCCAATAATCACCGTCGTCACACAAAAGTTTACACAAGTCCAGAAGTTGTACAATAACCATGCTTGCCACTATCCTTTGCATGTACCACAACGATGCATGATGCGATTTTTATGAGACTCATTCTCTTCCCTATCCCACTTTGTCTCCTTAATGCGTAACTTATACTTCACTTTGTCTTCCCAATGCTCATACTCGATACGCTGACCCAAAGTCGAGATGAGTGAATTGAGTAGATGACATGGGCGAGTAGGAAGTGATCATCATGAAGGACGACATGCAGGGTGGGGTGGGAGTGTAGATAGAGAAGGCACTGAGACCATTCACTCCCGCTCTTTCTTCGCCTTGGCAACATCAGCAGCTTTGATACCAGCCGCAGCAGCCTTGGCCTCGTTGGCTCTTTCTTCGGGAGATTTCGCATCTTCTATTTCCTGCTGAGCGTTGGATATCCTGTTCTCGACTGAATGTCAGTCATGACCGCCACATGGGTTGTATGTCCTGTGTTTTACCTGCCCCATACCGCTATGATCGTGTTTCCCCCCGTTTTTGGTCCTCTCACGGTAATGGTGGCAGAGGAGTGCTGCCCCAAACGACATGCGCCTAACGACGCACCCGCTTCATGGGAAAAACACCGGCCAATAAAAACAAGACCACCGAATTGAAGAAGGGTCCTGAATGAAACGACGGACGGAGAAGAGTAGTGAGTGAGAAGACATAAGTTACAAGAGGACAAGCATCATAGAGAGTAAAAAGAAGTGAGAATGAAACGACACTCACTCAAATCGTGCAGAGCCAAGACAGACCGTATCAAAGCACTCAGATAAACCAACATCCCTTGATCGTTCGCTCCCACTCTGAAAGCTCTTCCCAATTCCACATCCGTCCCTAATTGAGGTAAAGACCCAACCATCTCTTGCAACTTGTATATCACCGGATGGTTGATAGGTAATTTCCCACTTCGTACATGGACGAGATACTCTCGTATCTCACCCAAACGTGCGTGTAAACCTCTGAGGGCGTTGAGTTGGGCGGCTACTCGGGAAGATAAAGATTGTGTTGTTAAGAGTGATGTTGGAAGTGTTGTGCCGGAGTTTGGGGAGACGGAAATGTCTCGGAGAAGATGTTCTACGCCGATTTCTTCTGCTTCTTCGGCCTCTATAGTGGTTGGGACATGGGTGAACGTTCGTTGGGTGGATGTCCCGTCCTGACGACGTGAGCTTTGATTCTTAGGGGAGGCGTTTCGTGAGACTTGCATCCATTCCCGTGAGAGGTCTTGTTGGGCAGTAGTGTTTACCACTTTGGGTGATGGACAGCAAGATGCGGGAGCATTGGATAGCAAGAAAGTCAAAGCAGAAGTACGACATCAGCAGATGTGCGGATATAGACAGGAAACAACGGACAAACTGAGAGCGATGATAGTGGAAGAATTTGGGGTGATGGATCAGATAACTAGACTCACATCCCTGATCTCCTCCACGGCAAAGTAAGCATCCGTAGGTATTCCTGTATCACCTCTTCCCCCGCTGGCCCTGACATCGACAATGACCATCACCGGACGGGAGCAGAATCGCTTGAACAGTTCGGTAATTTCCAAATCGGAAGAACGGAGTCGAGGACCGGTATGATAGAATCCGACTGGACGTTCTTTGGCTGGGAGTCAGCTCAACTATCGGACGCTCTCACATCCTGTAGCTCGTTCCCTGAATATCGTTTAGGAGTGACTTGTACTGTAGAACTAATGCAAAAAGGACTGCCCAGACCCTCTTCTCATGTGTGATCGGAAAGTAATCAGATTTCTTCACGACCTATACGAGAGGTAAATGTTCATGATGGACAAGTGATCATGTGTAAGGCAGTGATAGACTATAGGGGGACTATAAACCCACCATTGACTTTCCGGAACATTCTCCACATTTCCTCTGCAAAATCCATATCTAAGAAAAAAGTCCTAGGATCTCTATCATCTTCCTCGAACGGAAGTGCGAAGCTGTATATGAGCGTTGAAGTTTGTCATGTACTGCATCGGACACCTGACACCTGCAGACAATCGAAAGATCAAGACAGAAATTCGATCTGGGAAAGGAAAGAATGCTGGCGGCTAGAGCGATGGGTTGTAGTGAAGGGACGCATGAGGGGCTGAGAGGAAGGGAGGAAGAGTCAAACATACGAATTTGCAACATTGATGCTACTACCAGTATCTTCCCCTAAAAGAACACCCAGGACTCTTTTCTTGTTCGGTAATGGGACTCTGGAAGCGTGATCTACGACGGAGAGGAGGACGAGAGGGTGAATGATGCTGGATATCAGCACGATTACTCCTTCACCATGTCTGATTTGGACACTGGAAAGAGCTCAAGGTGGAATGTCCCACAGTGGATGTTGGGATGTCAGAGGATAACTCACACGTTAGTCATGGACAGGTCCGTCACCTGTCTGTCAGCTAACAGCACCGAGTGAAAAGGGGTAGCTGCTCAGCTGACCTGTGCGGTTGTGAGCCCTACCATGATGATGCTTGATGACAGTCAAATATACAGTTGTATAGGGAGACGGAGGGAAGTGAGCGCGTCAGCGTTGAGACGAGTCGACACGTGGCAATTCACCTCTTCCCCTTATCACAACCTCACCAACAACTCTACTAAGTAAGTACAACTACTATTACTTAACTAAGTCAAGTGACAAGTGCAAGAAAGAATAAATAAACGTAGCTGGTTGTGTCTTTATGTTGAGCACCGGCGCCAACAGCATAGATGGATGCATGTACAGTACAACAAGCGGAATGATATTGATAGTTGATCCGAGAAAAAGATGGTCGACCCTTCAATCCACTCTATCACCCCATCCAACCGTTCCCGCTCTCAACTCCCCCAACCCTTTTCCTATCCTCTGAACAGTCTCCTCCGACCCCTTCCCCCTTCTGACTTCAACGACCAGCTCGCCTCTTCTCCCTCTTTCACTCGTCATACCTACTTCCGTCGTATTCAAAAACACCTGACACCAACTTGGCGTCAGTCCTATCGTTAGGTATTCCACAGGCAAAGGTACTCCACGTCTAGCCGATCGCTCGAATGGTTGGCCTACGGAGATAAGAGAAGATGGAAGAGAAGACAGTAGATCTTCTATCGTCGCACAAGGCTGAAGTCGGACGAATATTTCACGTAGGGAATCAGGTTCTTCGGTGAGAGACGATTCGGTGGAACGGAGTTGATGTCCCACCATGATGGCTATGAAATGATCTAGGACCGCCGTTTCTCTAGACCTCTGATGGGGAACATGAGAGATAGGGGGATGGTGAGTGTCGATGGAATGTGTAGGCAAAGTAAGTGAAGTGGAGTGAGAAGGAAGGAGGCGAGTAAGGTATAGAGGTAAGTAATGGGAACGGAGGATAGAGGTGGATACTGTGACCATCAATCTCCACCGCTTTGCACTCGATGCAAGTTGTAGGGTAGTATAAGGGAACATACCAAAGTAAAACCTTCGACAAACCGGTCTGACACCTCTAAACAAACTCCATAGTCTTCTCACACATTCCTCTTCGTACTCTCCGCTCCAAACGCTAGGCGTCGCTTTCGGGTCAAGTAACAGAGAGAAGATACGATGAAGTATGTGAAGAGGAAGATGGTCAATTGTTGGTGAGATATGGGTCGGTTGGGCGGGTGAATAAGGAGGAGGTGCAAGGTCTGACTGTCAGCTTCCTTGCCAGTTTGTCGTGTCACCTCTCCCCCTCTCTCCCTTATGCATCAAGATGGTCTAGTGATGCAGTGAGCTAGTGCGCAGAATGTGGTGTGGCGACGTGACATGACCGACGATGCGGAGAACTCACCTGTCATACTTGATCCCTTGATAATTCAGAAGCTTTCTTGGTACATCGTCCACCGTATCACTGTGCGATGCAATACGAGTACAGGAATGAGTAGCTCACCAGTACTCTACTCAAGTAGACAGCTATAGACAGGCTGCAGTGGCGGTGTCACCAGTAGTGATACAGTATGGGGCCCCGTGATGGGATGGAATGCATGACGTCACTCCTTCCATTCGATGTCTCTCTCCCCTCTCCACACAGTCTTCCTGCTTTCAACCACAGCGACTTTTCTAACTGGATCTAAGGGCCATAACGAGCCCGTTTTTAAATCCTGAGATCCTAGCACTCATACTCCATCGTTCAAGTCCGAACAATCACCCTGAGCCGTTTTATAGACCACCGACCAGTCACGCAATGTTACAATTCTCTCGACTCTCACTTCTTGCTCTCTCCCGGACCAACCCCACCCCCCGCTTGCTTCTCGCACCATCCTCCGGTACTATCCCTCGACAAACACGTCCTCTGCACATGACCCCATCCCTCCTCAAGACCCCCAACTCCCAAGGTCACGCAACCGACAAAGCCTCTTCTCTCCACGGTAACAAAAACGTCCAGTCCGCATCCGTGCAAGGTGGTCGCGAGGCGAAGGAAGACACTAATTCGGGTGAGCGACTTGATGTTAGTGCATATAAGGATGTGCCGCTGATATAAGGTACAGAACATGATGAACCGTTTGACGCTGCTCGACAAGCTGGTCAGGGTGGTCAGAGTAAGCCAGGGAAACAAGGGAAAGGCGCTGGAGAGGGAGAACAAGGTAGTATGAAGGATCAAGTTGGGGGACAAGGTGGAGGGGGGGTTGTGAAAGGTGGGAACGAGTTAGCCAGTGGTGGTAGTATTGGGGATAGTATCAAAAATACATTCTCGGTGGGTTTTGGGACCACAAAAGGGCTCCTTGTTTTGCCCTAATGTCCCTCCTTCTTCGCCTCTACTTTCACCCTCTCCGCCATTCTCATGATCTCGCGTCGCTCACTCTCCCCGCCTCCCCTCTCGATCTCCTTGGCGTTTCATTTCCCTCCCTCCAGCCCCCCCCCCCCCCCCCAACGCCTTCCCCCCTTCTCCGTTTCGAAAGTGGACCTTTTTCAATGGCCACTCTCCCGCACATCCTCGAATTTCAGCCCTCCTTCGAGTCAGCTCTTCGTTGAGCTAAGTGGCGATATGAGACCGGCTGACATGAAGCGCTCCCTTCACACTTCTTCGTTCCTTCGGGCGGACATTAACCTCCACGGGGACCAAAACCCACACTTGAAACATTCTTCCCCTTCCTCGAAAGACACAGGCAAAGGCAACGCTGGTCCTAACCCTACTCTCCCGTCTCACAAAGGTACCGGCACTCCTCCTTCTGCTACTGACACCAACGAAAAGTCTCCCTTGGGGACGAAGAAGAAGGAGAAAGAGGGTGAAAAGCCTGGTACGAGGAGTTTACATACTTCCACCAGGAAGGAAGCCAAGCCTCCTGGAGGGTATGCCAGGGGAATAGATGCGGAGCCGAAACGTACGAGTGGATACGTGAGTCAACCTGTTCTTTGTTCCTTCTTTCTTGTCCTCTTTCTCTTTCACTCCCACCTTTTCGTCGATCCTTCTCCGTATGATTTGACACATATCTTCGCCACGACGTTGCTCTTCCTTTTCGATATCAACCACTTCCCAGACTGTTTAGAGATTGGGGGTCCGTGTAGGGATGACAGTCAAAAAAACATGGGATTAGGACCAAATAGACGATATTGACATCAAGGACGTACCTCAAGAAGCCCTCCCTGCCAATTTATCATCCCCCTATGCCTCTGAAGCAGCTCCTCCCCCGGAAAAGGGGATGACACCAAGTAGCGACCTCCCATATTCAAGTACGGCTACTGATCCTCCTAATGAAGTCTTGGCTACAGCAGCGAAGGAGGGTACGTTGGGGGAAAGGAATCCACAACCTAGTGGGGACATAGGGTGGGTCTTCAGTGTCGCCGTCTGTACATCCCCCTCTCTCCTTCTTCACCCGTAACAATATTCATTTCGGTATCGAAAGCATCCTGCGTAATACCTTGTAGGGAGAACAAGGTGTGAAGAATGAGATCCGGCCACGCTGATAAGTAGGAAATTGGGGAATGACGAAGCTTGGAAACATCGGAAATGATTGATCCCACTCGGTTTTGTACGTGGTTGAGTCGTTGTTTTAGGAATTACTTGAAAACGACAAGGTGTTGTTTCATGAAGAAACTCAAGAGGTTGCAGGTGAGGGAAAGGCGAAGTCAGTACGTTAGCGGAAGGTTCGGGGAATTGGAAGGAAAAATGTATGTTTAAGTCTATGCAGCGTGCAGCCGTGATTCATTCACCCCTCAAGCCCGAATGAATGATCTCTCATATCTCGCAGAAACCTAGGATTATGCAATTGCAAGAGGAGTAAAGATCACTCCCATTCTCTATCTATATCCTCGAAAAAATCCCTCATCTCTTTCAACTCCTCCGTTTCATCTTGATCTTCCATCGGTATGATCAAAAAATCCTTAGAATCAGGGACGGAATGTACTCTGTCAACTAAAGAAGGCATGTTAGTCTCCAACGTTTCTCTCATCCTCCGACTGAACGATGACATCTTTTTGTTAGTCACCTCATTCAACTGCGTACTTCACAAATGCATATAGACCAACGTTCACACTGAAAAGCTTTCGCAGTCATCCTTGACGTCCAGCAGGTCTATTCGGCCTGAGAACATGATTCAAGAAACGTAGATTTGTCTCATGAAGGATAATGAGTGATCGGATTTGGATTTTCCCTCTCATAGCAGGAAAGTGTTGTATATGACGGTTTTACAGTGGTGGGAAGTCAAGAGTAAAGTAACGAGGAAAGATGAATGTCTGGATATTGTACAAGTGAGGCTTGATGATACACTCACATCGTTGACTCCTAATATATATGATGTACCCCAGATACCTAAAGCTGCTGTACCGAATACCAACCCGGTAGCTATTCCAAGAGCTTTGAACCCTTCTAAAGCTCCCATTGCATCTTCTTCTCCTCCTGAGTCTTCACCCCGTCCAGCTTTTTGCTCGGTAGAGCTATGGTTGAGTTTATCTACTCCTGTTGTTGTATTCATTCCCTCGGGTGATCCTTCTCCTCTTTTTTTCGCTTCATCTTGACTTCCTCCTGCTCCATGTAGTAGCAGTGATTCGTGTTGATTATCGGAAGTCATCAATCCCGACTCCTCACTTTGGACGATTGTATTTAAGAGTGAAGCTGAAGATCCAGTGTCTTTACCAATTGACATGTTCGATTCCAATGGGGTGGTGCTCATATTTGTGGGAGGCAGGGGATGGATGGAATGAGGATGAAGAATTGAAGAGGGAATACGAGTAGTGGGATGAGAAGTAGCTTGAAGAGAAGCTTCTCTCGAGAGTCGAGCGGCTTGACGGATATAAGGAAATATGAGAACTGTGAGACCTGCTGATAGAGTGAACTAAACATCAGTACCGACTTGTATTGTGTCCAGACGAAGAAAGACTTACAGCCGCTCCCAAAACGTAAAAAGCGACTTTGGGTATTTTCTTTTTGGTTGTGTCTCCCCCCCTGACTGCCTCCCGTCCAACTGGAGGATCCATGGTAGCAACCCCACTCTCCCTCTTCTCGATCGCCGACGGACACCTGGACGGTCCACCTAGGTCTATGTGCATCGATGAGTTGTGAATCTGGCCTGAGTACGGCTAAGATCACGACGGAAAGTGACCTGTTTCTGGTTTATATGACGGAAAAAAGTTGATGTTCAATGCGGGGCTCCGCGTTCCACACCCAAGTCATGGTGCAAATTTCCGTCGACTATGTGCAACTTTTTGACACAAACTCCCCTACTACGTTCTACTCCATCACACAGCATATCATAATGAAGAGGTCGGCTTCTGGTTCTACCGTGATAGAGATTAGAGTGAGTGATATTGGTATGCTAGACTATGGTAGAAAGGGAACAGGTGACTGACCTTCAGACCAAATCTCGGAGAAGAGAAACTTCCAACAGTGACCAAGACATGCAACAGTCTGATGTTCAATCCTCGCATTCTTTCCCGACGAACGACGGCGATGATGGATCCGAATATGATGCTGTCATTTCCGATGAAGTATCTGCATCTTCTGTACATCCCGCTAACCCCTCGCAAACGTCGAAACCACCTCCAGGCCCATCTCACCCTCGCACTCAAATCTCAACCCCGCAATCGATAATACCTTCCGACAACACCTTCTCCCTGCAGCTATCCGCCCTTATATCCTCCACCATTCTCCCTCAAACACAATCACTGAAAATTCTTCTTTCCAAGATACACGATATCATCCTCTCCCTCCCTTCTCTCCCCGTGGTCTCCCCAGAAAGGGCAATCAGGAGATTAGGTAAAATGACCATGCCCCCTGTAGCCCCGGACGAATTCGTAGCTAGGGATGTCAAGTGGGGTCTTGGTTGGGAACCTCCGGTAGAGATATTGCTAGGAGGTAGTTGGAGCGTCTGTGGAGGATATAGAACGGCGAAAGGTGAAATGGGTGATGTGGATTTGGTTCTGATCATGCCTGAGGTACGTAACTAGAGTCGTCTCGAGTGTCAGATGTTGCATGGTGGGAAAGCTGATAAGAAAAGTCATTGTTCACTCCTAAAGATAGATTGGATTACCGATACCTACATAAAAGAGTGCATTACCTCGTTGTGATAGCCAAGGAATTGTCACGGCTGTGTTCTATCGAGTCTCCCCTCATGGGAGGAAAGCTGTCATGGGGGTACGCTTCTGGTGATCATCGGCGACCCACAGTCCGATTGTCCGTGGGGAAAGGTGTGTCGGCAGTGTCTTCCTCTCTTTCTCTATCACGCACAATTTCTCACTCTCTCCCTTTCGTGATCCTCTCTTCATGAATAATTCTCCTCTTGCCCCTTTCCCAGCATCCGTCTTCCCCATGTTGGCTGTTTGACAGTGAGAAGTCAAATTAATTGCCAGAACAAGGGTTGAAATACACCACTACCATCAACATCCACGCCGGCGTACCATCCACTCTCTTCCCACCTCATACCCTCTCGCCCATAAAATGCCTCCTACGTCACCCTTCTCTCCTCGAAAATCCCACTACATCGTACTCCACCTCTATAGCCCTCGACACTCTTCACAAATCGCATCTACTCCACTTACACCGTCTCTCACAACACCTACCTGAAGGGACTTTAGCTTCTTTCCTCGCTGCTTGGCGGATATGGGCGCGCAGACGTGGTATATCACGTGAGAAAGGCGGAAGCGGGTGGTTTGCGGGGGTGTTGTTGGGGTGGATAGTTAATGGTGGTGAGATCGGTGGTCAGGGAGGACAAAGAGAAAAGACAAGAAAGTATAAAGGCTTAGGGAAAGGTTTGCATCATTGGGAAGCTTTACGTGCGGCGTGGGAATTTATAGGTGAGGTTTTCTTCTCCACTGTACCTACCCATTTTTGTAACCAAGTCAGCCGTCGGGATACTCTGAAGCATTCAGCTGGTGTGAATATAACGCAAAGACTCTCAACTAATTGGCTAGCGTCAACTGATTTCGAGAAAACCCCTGTGTTCTGCGCCACCGAGGTGGAGAGCTCTATCCCACAGGCAGACTTTCTGAAAGCTTTCAATGGACCCATCTTTGTGGATCCAACCGGGATGGTCAACGTCTTTTCGGGCTGGGAGAAAGGCCAATTAGACCTTTTACGGCATTATGCCAGAGAAACTCTGGGAGTTTTGGAAGATGGAACAGACTCTTTTGACGAGGTGTTTCTAAGTGATCGGAAGATGGGTATGGCGAAGTTTGATGAGTTCATTCGGTATGTCCTTTCATTAGCCTTTCACTCTTTCTCATTCTGGATCTGAGGCCCCCTTTTCTTCGAAATCTGGTGCCCTTCGTAGGTGCACTCCGTGCTTATGTTTCAGTGTCGACGTCACAGGCTTCACGCTCGAAACGACGCTTGCCGAACAATGTTCTCATCCGGATACCCTTGACCTCTACTCCTACTCTGTCGCCGCCATTCTTCGGCGGGGACTCACCGATCGAGCTCGTCTGGTATACGTCGCCCCTTCGTCCGATACGACACTCGACGTAGGTCTCACTTATAACCCAACGTCCGCAACGCGCGTGCTCGATGTCGGACCTCCTTCGACGGACGAGGCTGCTTGTCAGTCTTTCCGCCAGTTATGGGGTAGTAAAGCCGAATTACGTCGTTTCAAAGATGGTTCAATTTCCGAATCTGTCATGTGGGAAATCTCTCGACCTGAAGAAGCCGCTTTGATACCCTTCCGAGCCATCTCACATCTCCTCAATACCCACTTTCACCTCTCTCAAACCAACATCACACCTCTTTCATCTAATCCCGAATGGCTGTCCATTGTGCAAATACCGAATTCTGCCCGAGAGGTTGTATCACTGGAAGGAAGTGAGAAACTAGGATTCCGACCCATTCTAGATGGCTACGATATATTATACAAATCTCTCAAATCGATCGATACTGAATTACCCCTCTCAATCCTCCACGTCACTCCGACTAGCGAATTGCTACGATATTCAAGCACATTCGTTCCGCATCCCATCGATGTCGCAAGACACGGACATTCTCCTGATTGTATGAAATACATCCCACTGGCAGACGTAGTAATGCAATTCGAATCTTCCCCTCGCTGGCCTGAAGATCTAGCAGCGGTGCAAAAAGTGAAATTGGCAATGTTTGAAAAACTCGCTAGAATACTTCAATCTTCCATTCCTAGATCTAGACTCAACGTAGCTATCGAACCCGATTGTAGTGATATTGAAGATTACGCATCTTTGGAAATTCTTTTACCTCAAGGAGTAGCATTTAGAATACGTATTTTTCACGATAAAGAAAAGTTTCTTCTCGAAAGAGCTCTAGAACCTCCTAAACCCATTCACATGTTAGGAACACAACTACCTCAACCTCCCAGAAAATTGGTGATACCAGCTTTGGAGAAACATTTAATTCGGTTCCATTACAAATCAGAACATCATCAAGCTTTCGCTCCATTACATCATCGATTTCCCTCTTTTTCATCTTCAACAAGACTTCTTCGTAGATGGTTATCCTCTCATCTTCTCTCACCTCATATTCCATCTGAAACTGTTGAGTTACTTATGGCTTCAGTGTATCTCGATCCGTCAAGTCTTGGAACTCCTGCATCTTCAACGAAAGGGTTTATCAACGCTCTTATCAAATTGGGTGAATGGGATTGGAGAAAAGAACCATTGTTCGTTCCACTTTCCACTGAGATACATTCTTCAGATAGAGATGGAAGAGTCAAGTTTCCGGAGGAAATGAAAAAAGAAGCATTAGAGAAGTTTACACAATTGAGGAAAAGAGATGAAGAAGTTCATCTAGGTGCTTGGGTGATAGTTACTTTAATGGATATAGAAGGGATGAGATGGACTAAGGAAAGACCAGGGAGGGTTGTAGCTGGAAGAATTGGGGTTTTAGCCAGAGCGGCTTTGGAAGAGTTGAGGATAGCGGAAGAAAAACGAGTATTGAATGTCAAGGTGGGTGATTCCAATCCCTCCCTATCAGAATCTCAGTTTCTTGACTAACGTCAAGAACCTCTTCACGACACCTTTAGATCAATACGATTTCCTGATCCATCTAAAACCATCTCTGGTACCGACTTACGCCCAAGCTGTTCGGTGTGAAGAAGAGCAATGGGAAACCAGCTCTTCCAAGTTTCGCAACGCTCCTGTGATACAAGGAGTTTACGGATCAGAAATACGCCTGGGATTCGATCCCATGTCAGAGTTTGTCAGGGATATACAAGTGAGTCTTCTAGGTTTTTCCCACTCAGAGCGTCATCAACCTCAAGTATTTTCCCATCTTTTTCTGAATCTTGTATCTCAAAAATGTCGATGCTTTAATCCCGAGCCAAATCACTATATCGTTCCATCCCGCATATCGTAACACACCTAAGGATTGATCTGGCCAAATAAATGACCCAGAAGGTGACGGAGGAAGGATGGGGTGTACAGATTTCTTCCAGTACACAGAGATCAGATGAAGTGCGGTAGTTGGGAGAGACCAGGGAAAGTGTGAAGTCTAGAAAAGAGAGTATACAAAATTGACTTTTAGCGATTATACGGAGATACTTTATTGGTTTTCCATGACCCACATGGAGGTACGGTGATAGCTTGTGTTTGGAATCCCATCAAGGAACAACCAAGAAGTTTGAAACCTCTTTTAGGTTATTCTACAAAACCTATAGTTTCCTCCGTGAGTTTCTCCTCTTTCCATCTTGACATAGTTCTTATGGCTTCCATCCCTCTGTTGTCATATGTGTATCGTGGCTGATCTCAGACTTTGGTGACTATCAATAAAGAAGCTATCATAGCTGAGATTTCTCGTTTGGGTCAAGGTTTGATCGAACGTATTGACCGATCACGGGGATGAGATTCATACTTCACACCGTAACCCAGCAAGATCGTTGAAAGTCGGGGAATGTGTACAATCTTCTGAGGTTGGAATGTAGATAGAAAGAGAGATAAAAGCAGACAGAGGCAGGATAACAGATTTTCATACCAACAAGTAATGTTCGTACATAAGCATGACAAATCTTATGACAACTTGTACATCACATTTGTAATTTGACATTTGGCTTGAATCTCAACACTCATCTCAAGCTCCATCCAACATGGCCGCTGCCTTTTCAGACTTCTCCAACAAACCCTTTTCTTCCTCCGCAGCACCCTTCTCCATATCCCTCTCACTGGCAGGTTTGGCCTGAGGGACCCACGTCTCTTCATACTTCCACCAATCGTTCAATTCACCGCGCATCCAAGCGACCAGGGCTGTTGCCCCACATGTGAAAGGCACAGTGATGAGTAAATGCACTACCGGAGCGTCGACGAGACCTCGCAATGCAGGGATATCTCCGGAGAAGTATTGGACCAGATCGATGAGACCGAGAGATACGGCTAGGGAGATGAGAGAAGTGAGGAAGAGCGGCATACGGAAAGGTGGGATAGAAGTTGGGACGATCGCAGAGGTAGATGTGGCCACAACGCGGGGAGAGATGGTCGAAGCTGCATCGAAACGCAAATTGGCGGCGACCTAGAAATCAGTACAAGCCTTAACGGTAATGATGTCTCGCGCAGGATGAATATAATACCACAAACATCTCCGAGGTCCGTGCCCCAGGGAATATAAGCACACTCGTACGTAGGGGAGGGGAGGGAATAAATGAGGACAGACTCACCAATACGGCAGGTGGAAGGATAGACCACGCGGGAAGGATCATTAGCATGACTTGAATGAGCCAATCACTCGGGGTGGCCCACTTCGACATGTCCGGCTCGTCGTCTGTAGTCGATGATTCATCCGATTGTTTATATTTCTGATGAAGCGCAACAGCACCTCCTACAATAACGAATGTGACGACGATCAAGGCCTAGAAATCAGCACCTGGTATCGTTCGTACGAAAACTGATCTTGGTCGTGGATAAGCGGTTAACCGGATACTTACCACGTAACCAAGCAAGACCTGCACAAGCCTTCTCATCTTCAACATGGGGGTTGACCAACTGGAAGTGATATGCATGACCCAAGCCGCCACGACCAGACCATTGAAAGCATTGGAGCGATGGACCGACATTCCGAATACGGCCCCAACGAGCAATGCAGCTAGAGCAAGACGGGGGTTTCGTTTGTCCAAGAAACGATCAGATTCTACTCGAGTGATCTTGAGTATGTATGGTAATTCTGGCTTTGCACGGACATACGAGACTTCAGTCGCGACTGGGAATATGATATCGATAACCTGGTGATGTCAATTCATCGATTTCCGCAAGTAGTCATACTCTGAGTCCGAAAAGTCCGGAGTGGGAGAGACATTCATCATCTCCTAAATGATCGGAAGACAAGAGTGAGACAAAAGTAAGACTCACATTGTAAAACACGCTCAAGTAGATGGCAGCCTCCAAACCTCCCCAGATAATGTCCAAAACCAATTGACTGCTGATCCTAGGCAAGACAAAGATGAGGAACATCTCAACTGAGAAGATGAGTGTCATGATACATGCGAACGCAGTCTTTCTGCTCTTCAATACCCGACGCCAAATTGGCACGCCTGATTGGACGACAGGAGGAGGCTTGGGCGCGTCCAAATCTGCAGGGATGGCCAGAGTGGAGACGGCATGCCATTTCTGCAAACATCAGTCATAGATCTGTAAGGGTGGGGGAAATTGGACCACCGTTGTGAACACTCACAGCAAGAACACGTTTCGCCCCCAGAGTCAGTCCTGCCAGAGCGAGAAGATGACCGAAGAAGGATTGATGATACTGATACGGGTTGAACATGGTGGATGAGTTGGTCATTATGGACAATCAAAGTGGAGAGAGGAAGGAAGGAAGTGACAGGAGACTGATGGAGCGCTCGGACGTGTTCCGAAGCGCCGAAACACCGCGCGAGCTGCTTGACATGTGGCGTGTGGCATGTGGCACTTCTTCCACCTCCTTTCACGCACTTGACCCACCTTAAATCAGCCTCTAAGCAAACTGTGCTGCGGGTAGTACATGCACAATTGTCACTACATGTAGACTCGAGTCGTTTGGTAAGACCAGCGTCTCGCCTGTTCGTTCGTCAACTTCTTCAGGGTACAAAAAAGGACTATGTTTCCACCGACGAGTCGAAGCGATGTACCCGTCCATGAATCCCCGCAGCACGCAGGTCAAGGAACATGCTCCGTAGAGTTTTGCGCCTTCTAGATCCCCACTCTGTTCGGGTCGAGTTACTGGATATAATATCCCTAGTGTCGTAACATCTTCCTGCCGCCACAAAGAGACTAAGGATAGATTACCGCAGGGGCATGGATGAATGTCAGCTCCTGAATTTTCCCGCAAGACCCGCCGTAGATCTGGTGTAAGCTGAAGTAAATGTGTTTGTCCTCCAGTTTCCCGAGTACAGTCTGTGCACATGTGTGCACCCACATCTTCGTTGATAAAAAAGGCCAGTCCGGCGGAGGTTGACAGCGCCTTTAGCAGGGTTTCAGGATGGGCAGTATGAGCCCTAGCGGTAAAGGGATAGACAAGACCATCGTGATCCTTAGCCGCGCATCGTAGTAACAATCGCATTGTTGATGGAATCTGAATTGATCTCCGTCGGAGATCCTTAAAGGTTTGTTTGAATTCTTCGTGTGCTGTCCGAATTTCGTCGGTTGATAGAGTAGCAACCTCAGCGCTTGATAGCATGGTGGTAAGATGATCAACTTCGCTGTCAGATTCACTCATGTTGCCTTCAACAAAATTTAAGAGTATGCAGGTCCCACTATAAGAAGCTAGGAGGATAGATCCTCAAGGAGTTTATGGACAATGATACAGATGACAAGATACAAGTTTGTAAAATGATGACACATCTTTCTCACTCTTTCTCTTCCCCTTTCCTTTCATCCCTTTCCCTTTCCATGTATGCTTTCAAGTTCAGCTAACTCCTCCTCTGGTTGCCCGAGTTTGAGATACTACAACTCGTCCTCCTCTTCTCGTCTCTTTTCCTCTCTTATCCACCCTTCTCTTAACTCCTTCCTTCCCCTCATTTCCACGGCGAATACCACCACTTCAGCTCATCCCCTAGCCTCGCCCCAGTTATTACTCCCGTCAAGTGTTTGACAACAATTTTGGTTATCCTTATCAAAGCATGGAGGGCGCCTTGTACCCCATTAGAGAATGCAATTGTGTTGTTTTCCTTCTATGACCTGTCTAATCTGTAGCATGCTGAAACTGACATCAATGCATGAGGACTAGTGAGTCATGAAATATATATCTTGTACTCCAGCTACAATGCCCTCTCACTTGTCCGTCGCCTACACAGCTTATTTTCTGATACCGGTGGGACATTCAGTGATCATTGAATTCATGGTCTTACGAAAGATATCTCATCCTTCCGTCTCTGAGAATGTGGACACCTGTTGTAGATGGGATGGTGGTGGGAGTGGAGAACGTATTGGCGATCCATCTTTGTTGGGATGGCACGTAACCTTTGGTGAGTGACTCGAGCGCGCACCTCATTGAACACGCCGCATGAATCTGTGTAGGGTCGGGGGACGTTTCTGGCAACTGAACAGGGTATAGGGCCCCTGCTTTGACAACATGACTTTCATCTCCCTCAAGCAAGCAGAAAAGGGAGGGCCTACCACAAACACAAGGCTCAAATGTAGGAGAACCAATGGACTGAAGATACTTCACCATCAGATCTGTAGCTTCCCTGATCCTGATGAGCTTTGAGTCATTCTTACACTCCTGACACAGATGATTATCTTCTTCCAGAAGTTGAAAGTACTCTGGTCCTGTACGTTCATCCATCAGAAAAGCTACTTGTTCCGCCAATGTGGGGTGTAAGTTTTCAACTGATACAGTTTGAACGGTCCGGTCTTCGTGACCTTCAGTCAAGCAGTTAAGCCATATGGTACCGGGGGATTCCTTAGATATCATGGCTAGGGGGCTTGAAGAGCCCTTGAATGTGTCGCAGAACTCGTGGTGTTTCTTCATGGCTTCAGCAGATATCATCCCGATAGAGTCATTCGACGAAAGAGACATGATCTCGGTCAAGTTGCTTGACATCTCCGAACTGTATAACTGAGTATGAACTTCCGGAAACCCAGTTTTTGGAGAGGATAGAAGATAAACTGTTTTGAAGGAATGGTTTTTTCACGATCCGACTTTTTGCTCCGCACGGAACGCCCGAGGTGCAATTTACCCGTTTGGACTATTTCCCATTTCGAACAGTTGCGGTATCTCCTGAGCTTACCAAACGGTGAGAGAGTTCTGAGCAAGGGAAAGGATTCTATAGCTCCATTTGGAGGATGAAAGACCAAGTCCGGAAATGGCATCTCCATTGAGAGTCTTCTCAATCCCCCGAAAGAGCTTGGTTACGGGGAATATCAACGTGTTTGTGGTCGTGCGACGTCTTTTATTTTATATCGTCTCTGATTCCACATAATTCATACAGATCAAGAATCATATTACAGTCGCCGAAGTTCACCAACCTCATGAAACTATTAACTTCCGAAGAACTCCTTACAATTCCTATAGGGACATCAGGAAGGTGTTTCCGGACGACTCTACGCCTCCTTTAGTACATTCGTTGACACAGACTGCCAATGAATTCCCCCCGCGTAGTAAATGTCAGCAGACTCTGAGACTACCTGTATAGACACTGCAGGAGCGCCGTGGTATTGGACGTGGTGATACTCTTCGTGAACAAGCCATCTGCTACTTATCTGGGTGAATCCAAGTCTAGGACCATTCAACATACACATTGGGGAACAGGCTCCATAAAAGCTAGGCCCTTGCTCTTGAGAATCAGGTGGCCGAGATAAGGGATACAGAGTTCCAACAAGTGGTCTCACCCCGGATTTCATAGTCCAACATATCAAAGTTGGGTCACCGCATAAACAAGTCGAAGACTTGGTAGGATCGGCCCCTAGTCGATACAACAGCTCGGGGGTACACTTACCGACATTTGTATTCTCACCGAACTCATTCAAGCAGCTGTCACACATGTATCGACTTGCCATCAGTCCACAAAGATATCTATCTCTAACTGTCTCATCGAGAAAGATAGAAACCAGGTCCTTGGGGCGTCTGTACTTCCATTTGGGGGGGAAGGAGAGGACGGTAGCTCTATGGGATGGCCCCAGTGCCGCACAAGTGAACAACTCTCCAAAATTGTCAGGCAGGATTGCAGAGCTTGGTATGAGCTCCTTCACCGCATTCGTGAAGGTTTCACGTATACTCTCCGAGACCAGATCCCGGCTATTATCTCGCGCTCCGGCACTGACCGAGTAATTGCTGATACGACTTGACATTATGGCTACTTGTAGGAATGTCCGTTCAGACACGGGAGATCTAATAGAGCCTCTGGATGTCTATTAGTATGTAGATAGCCAACATGAGAAGGAGTTTGATAGCTAGTGAGCCCGTTTTAGGCCAATCCACCCTGGTGGATACCTACCTCGTTTCAACTATAGGAAGAACCGGAAGAAAGGAGGGACTCCTCAAATTCTCATGACTCAATTTGGAGCTTACCAAAGTCATTCCTATACATGGAGTATACAAAGGATTGAACAGAGTGTGGAGTTCTCTGAAACAATTTCCTCGGGACGAATGGTCTCCCCTTCCACCAGACGTCATGAGAATTCATAGAGTTACTTGTAGCGTGGATACATGTCATGACCTAATTTTGGGCTACATCAAATGTATTTACTGTTCCGTCAGCTTGTATGACCAAAGCTGGACCTGTCAGATTTGCGGTCCGTGAGTTCCTCAACATGTCCGGTCCTCCTTGCACCTTACCCTCCCATTCATTCCATCTATCCACCGACGGTACGTATCCCTTCGTGAAGCCCCTTACAACACAAACCAATCCGCATGATGCTTTCGCTTCTGAGTCCTGGGGCTGGCCACTCTCTTCTGAAGGGTACAGAATTCCATACTGATCTGGCCTTCTGGACATGCCTAGACATAGCAGAGTAGGAGCTCCACAGGTGCAGAGCCAAAACCCTGTGTCTGATCTAATCTTCAAAACAGTCCGTGATTTCAGATCGTCTTGAAACACATTTGGTCCCATGCCTGATAGATGACAACTTTGACACAACTGCTTCCCGGTGGCTAGCTGTTGAAAGTATGGGGCTCCTTCATCAGACGCCAGAAAGTCACAGAGTTGATCTCCGGTCATACTCTCAGCCTCAGACCCGAAAGGTATGGCCAAGGAATGACTCGGGTCCGCGGCGCACATAAGACAGTGTCGAAACTCGTCAGGAGCATGATGCCCTCCTTCTTTGAAAGCATTCCAGACTTTCCGGAAGGAATCCTGCTTGCATACATGGGGGTCGGGTAGAGTGAACGGAGGAGAAAATGGAGAGGAAGGTGAGCCCTCAGGCTCTGTCATTGTCACAATCACAAGTCACCGGATGGGACAGGGAATAAGTCGTGAACATATTCTCTCCCCCAGTACCACTTAAGTACTGTTCTACCAGGTTGTCATATCAGGTTCATCCATTGTCCCATCTCCAGCAGTTGCGTCATACATGTAGTTGTTACGTAGTCATGATCAGAAGCAAATTACCACCAAAGGAAAGATGATGAAAATTCTACGTCATTCAGGATCTACCAATCACCTTTCACCCCGCAGCTATCGAGCTTATCCTGCTATCCTGTCGTACGTCATCGTCATCATGCTGGGCTGATAGTGAGGGTGTATACACGTTCAACGCCGTACTCAGTTGGTTGGAGGCGACGGAGGCATCGCCGTGGAGGAGGAATGCCCGGGTCGCACGGAACATTTCCCTCTATGACCACTACGATCGCATAAGGCGTGGGATGCATTTCCAGAGGGGCATACTTCCAAACTTCCTCTGATGACTACCAACTGGTCAGTACCGATCTTATGTTGGGAGGCTCGGTCAAGGTCTGCAGTCATGGCACTGAAATTCGGAACTTCTTCCTCTTGTGATGCATTCACATTTTGTCATTTCAATATTTTAAGATATCATACCTCCCTTCTAACACAACAGACAAGCAGACCTCTTAAGTAGTCACCCAACAAAGCTGATGACCATTGGGGCTTCCGTTTGGTCTGGCATCTTCTAATCATCCCTACTTCAGACGGAACTGGAGTTTTGTTGTTGTGTGATGTTAGGAACCCAGTCACAGATATTCCACACCAGAGTTGCTTGGTCCAAAACCCCCCTTTTGCACCCAGCTGGGGATCCAGGCAGATCGCGAGGGGTTCAGGTGTCAGGATCACGGATACCTATAGACGGGTTCCTCAGAGTGGTACACAGAAGTCGTACCTCTACCCTACCTGATTCCGTCTCCGCCTCACTATTACCGTGAACGCGTCCTCTGTTCTCCTTTCCCTTTTAATTGCTATTTCTTCCTCTCACAATACTTTTCCTTCATCTCTGTGTCCCTCATCTATCTCCGTCTTCCTTCACTCTTCCACCCTACACTATTTCCGATCTCAACTCCATAGATTTTAGTATCACTCGGGTTCCCTTTTAGTATATAGAAACAGCCCCTTTTTGAGGATGTCTTGTCAAATGTACTTTCTCATCACTTAGCTTGGTGTCAGGATCACGCGATCAGTAGTACCTTACCTGGTAGTCGTAATCCATTTCCTGTTCCCGTCTCCGTCTCACGTTCCCGCTACCGGACTTACTCCGTTCCGTACCACGCCTGGTACCAATCCTTCAACACCACTCCCCTTTTTTACATCTCCGTCTTGGCAACTATCATCGTTCTTTCTCTGCTATTCTACCTCAATATCACTTCGAACTACGTATGCCCTTCATCGGTATCATCCCGCGCTCTTTTTAGTATATAGGACGTAGTCTTTTCTCAGCAATGTCTTGTCGAATGTATTTTGTGTTTTCCTAGTTATATCATTTGACATACATCTCATCGATCTTACAGATCTCTTCGATACGCTACATCACTAGGTTTGTTCCCTACAAGGGATCATTGTCACAGCTCATCGACCCAGACTATTCCGACGTCTGGTCATTACACTTGGCAAATCATTTGCCACTTGATCTCATTGACTTATAGGTCCTTCAATCTACTACATCACTAGGTTTGTTCCCTGCCAGGCCCTATAGCCGTAGCTCATAGACACAGACTAATTCCAATGTCTGGTCCAGACACCAGGGTCTGGTGGAGAATACTACACTGTCACAGTCGTCGTTTCTTCTCTTCTACTGACCGACGGTCGACAAACCTCGGCTAACTACGTCGTAGTGGGGCGTCGATGTTTCACTAGGACAGGGTACTTGTCAAGGAGCTACGGCTAACTACGCCGTAGTGATAGGTCGAGTGGTAAGTGATAAGATGATCGTCAGTGAACTGCGGCTAACTTTGCCGTAGTGCGTCAAACTGCTCGGTGGTAACTCTCCTTAACTCGGTGGTTGTAGCTACTGAATATATCACTCGCTACTGACAACAATCAAGGATCGCTGAACTTCTTCAGCGATCTGTAACCTATCTATACTACTCCTCACTTCTCATAGAACGTCCCTCAACTTGTTGCGACCCGTCCTTGTGAGACCTGAAGAACAAAGACGGAGTAGAAGATAAAGGTTTAGATGGTCTTGGACCAAGACGAATGAAGATGGTCCGTGGTACTGTGAAGTGATCAGATGATAGTCAAGTCAAGAAAGTATAAGTCAAGAAGGATAGGATAGCTTGGAAGGATCGAGTGGTCAAGCTACTATGTATCAAACAAGGATGACACTTCTGTAAGAAGTGCTCCCGAAGAGGTCTGATAAATATGAAATGCAAAAGATATTTTGATCCTTGGGGAAAAGGATCCATGGGGCCAACAGGGGGGGTTTATATATCCTGCAGAGCGAGACTATCGTTGAAGAGATTCCCAACGGGAATCTCACCTAAGTCTTCACCAGAAGTTCAGTTACGTCATACTTTGAATCAAAACGTGATATCTTGAATTAAAGCAAGGCGTAAACCTCTATTCTCTTCTGCAAGACTTCTGTGAGACTTCACTGAGAACCTTTCTCTCTGAGGAATGGGCCGGACCCTTGGATGGGGAAGTCATGATGAGTAGGGTCATGACACAACTCCTGCACTGCCTCACGCTCAGTCCTCTTCGTTCAACTTCGCCGTACCTCGCCATATCCCCGATGTCCTACTCCACTCACTTTGACTAACTTCGCCTAACTTCCCCTGCTCTGCTCTCCTTCGGTTCCCTTCCCCTAACTTCGCCGTAGTTCTCCGCTAGGCGGGGTTATCGTGACAAATAATACCCTCTTAGTTCTCGTAACTTCGCCGTAGTCCGTCTCAGTGGTTCGAGTGGAGGTTGGTGATGGTGAAAGGAAGGTCGGTGATGGTGAAAGGAGGGTCAGTGATGGCGGCTGTCAGGGATGTTACGACGTAGTTTGTGACATACACATACTTGAATTGTGACATAAACTGCCCATTGGTGAATATCATCACTCTACTCTGTCAAGTAATCTTGGCTACTCTCTCATTCCTGGTACTGTATACATCTCTCTAGGCTATTCCCAAACTTCTATTGGAGCCCTTCCTTTTGTGGTCATGACAGCTGGTGGGGGTGAGAGCATCCTGCTGTCATGCATTCCCATTGTCTGCAACCTCTTCAAAATCCTGAAGATGTTGGCTTACATTCAATTCTCCGTAGACAGTTGACCAGAGGTAGGAGAACATCAAAAAGTGTGACTTCTTTATGAAGTACTCCCCAGATCTCTGGCTGGGTCTGCCAGAGGGTCATGCATCTCTAGAGGGAAATGTCTCCAGTTGGGTCTGATTAAGTCTGTGCAGCCCCGGAAGGGTCTGACTCCGGCTGTGTCCCTGACATGTTTAAAACAGTGCGCCACGTCTCTGCATAGTCATGTGTACAAACTCCTCTGCATCACCTTCCTTCTGATGACTTGTTATTGACCTCCATAGCTGGATGGACTCTGACTGCACTCTCTTGGGCATATTTACAATCACTCACGCTTCCCAATATGTACAGTACGATTTAAAGCCAGCAACTCCTCATACTCACAGTGCCACTTCCCTCTCCCCGGCCTGAGGGTGTCGCACGTCGTCTCTTTCTCCACCATAAATCGTCTCCATCATACAAGTAGCACCACAGAATACCAATCGATTTTTTGTATACTTATATTCTGACTCACTTGCTGGTATCAAATATATGCTGACATAACCATTGGTTTGGTGGTGTCTGTCTTCCTGGATATGACATGGGGTAAACTCCAGTGCTTTTTGGTCCTTGCAATTGTAACACTTCCGCTCACCAGCAGAAAGTGATCCGGGGGGATACAAATGCTGGTGTGCATCACACGCCGGCATCACTCCATGGGCCTCCAGGTTGAAGATATCTGAGTGATACTGCAGCTGTACTTGGCTCACTAGAGTTCCAGGCCGCAGATAGCATAAGGATCCGGCCAGAACTGAGCAGCCACTCACTGGACATTTCATGAACTCACTCATATCAATGGTGCGCTCGTCATGGTGAGTTGACAGATACTCTAAACATGAGCAAAAGTCCTCAAACCGGCTTGGTTCATCCAGCATGTTCTCCCTAGCAGACAGATGAGGAAGGAGACCGTTGGCAGAACGAGCTGCTTCTACTCTTATGAGACGTGTTATTCGTGGATCACTTTCTTCTCCCCCGTTTACAGAACGGTTGCTGGCAGGAAGTTCTGACATTCTTGGCTTGAATTGTCCTGATTGGACTGGAGGAAATACAGTGGGATGGAGGGAAGAAGAGCACATACTTATAGTCTGCTCCATGGGTTCAGGAAGGCCAACAATTTCTTGGGGTGATTACGTGAGCTTCACGTATAGCCTTCAGCCCGGAGAGAGACGGGAACGGGGAAACGAGCTACAATGATCCGTTTCCGCGTAGAGCGGATGTGGGGGGGGAGAGGGGTGATTTATCCCCGACTTCAAACCCCCACCCGCCCTATCCGCCTCACATAGTTGAGTGGAAGCGCTCGGGAGATTGCCCTTGTCCTTGTAGATGGTGGGCAGGAATTCCCCGTAGATGAAATCCGCGCGCAGTCCAAGCGAAAAAGTCTTGCACTCCGACGACTTCCGACCGCATGACCTGAAGACCGCCCAGAGGACACCATGACCGGCAGACGACAGATGGCGCAGCTCCAAAGTTGAGGAGAAACAGTTCAGGGGTGTTGCCTGAGGGATCCCCTCCCCCGCCCAAAACAGCGGGTAGGAAGTCGGAGTGGATAACACCCGCACGGATCCCACGTCGAAGGGTTTTCCATTCCGACGGTCGCTGTCCTTTTCGCCTGGAGACCTATACGGCGAGGGTGGGAAAGATATTTTGAGATGCTCCCCCTGGTGGGAGAGGTGATGAGATAATGGTAAGAGGTCTCCAGAAAGATCCACCCAGGGAGCAGGAGAACGACTTTTGTCACGACTACGCTTGATCCAGAAGGCACCACAAAGTACTTTATTCCTTCTCAGTTGGTGAAGAAGGTCTCAATTTCCCGCATTGGTGAGGCTGTTACAAACTGTCCATTGATCTGTTATACATATTCTGACAATTGCCCGTTCTTTTAGCAAGCTTGTGACTCTATTGTTGGATCAATCAACACCTTGTCTGAGAAATAGAGTGAGCAGCCTTGTATGATTGTGAGTTCCTCTTGAAAGTTACTAAACTCAAGATAAAAGGAGACTATGCTGCCTCTCTGAGACATCTGTAGATTGGTGGAGCCAGCACACCCACTTTCACCTCACCTCTCCCTCTGACGCTCTATCACTGGTATCTGTCATAGTTGAGAGACCAGAACTTCTGGGCAATGGAAACTCCTCACCCCATGTATCGTATAGCTGAACTCAAAACCCAGGCTGACACTGTGAAACTCCACGTCAGACTGATAGAATATGTTCTGTTACATATACCTCTAGATATCTCTCACCACTTGTATCATAGCTAAAATTTACCAAATCTACACACCCGGCTATCTTGCCATCACCTTTGACACCCACCATATGAACAAAGTTCACTTCTTTCTTGAGGTTCTCAGAACAGGATATACATATCATCAGGATGTTTTTGCCTGACAAAGAGACATTTCCACTCTATGCATACTGAGTCTCATTATTGTCATTCAAGCTGTCTTCTAGATCCCCAAAGACTGGGAATCCCATTCTCGTTGTTAGCCCCCTTCCCCATGGCTTTGTTCCTCGTCTGTGTGACCACTTGGAAGCTGACATACAAACCCATGTATGGTAGTCATCCAGTAAGTCCTCAAGACTTCTTGTGGAATAGCATCATATCCACTGAGAGTTGTTGTTCCCGATCTCTCTTCCTGCCAAGGTTCAGCCATGTGGCCCGGATGTGCAGCTCGTGCTTTGTTCATACACAGAGCAAGAAGAGTACATGCAAGGGAGCAACATGGATGGTCCTCATCTGTGCAGACTTGATATCTGAAAATACGAGAGTTCAAGTGATCATACCGACCCTCAACAAGCAGAGCCGGACGCTGATGACACCAAGCACAGTCTGTTCCGTCATAATCTTCGTAAGCCGTGTCGGGAATCAATAGATGTTCACCATAGTGTTCCCAATGTGTCAAACATGGTCGCATGATCCCTGAGTCCTCGTCTATGAAGAATTCACTGTCTGCTTCCACACCCATAGTCGGTCCGGTAATGAATGGAACGCCAGTTATCATGTTGTCACACTTATCCACGGGACACATCAAGTAGGGTCTGAGATTGTCCAAACAGGTCTTAAGCTCCAAATCTCTAGTGAATTGACCAAGTCTGAGGATAGCAGAGCGAAAGTCTCTCATGGACGCTGGAACGGGGGCCTGCATGTCCTCTTCATCCGTGATATCATCGTCGGAAGTAGGAGAGTTGGATCTGGTGGATACTGGACTATGTCGAGGTACGTCGTTGAAAGATTCAAATCCGGACATTGTTTGTCCATTAAATAGGCCAAGAACGACAGAATTGAATGACTCCGTCCCCTGTTGTTCAGTCAGCACTATCCTACAAGTGATAAAGAGACAACAGGTATCCAACCATGTATACTACACCGGAGTTTGTCGAATGAAGAATCAGGTGGACAAGTGATCGTACTGCCTAACTCCGTCGGAGAAATCGAGAGAATTGCCTGTTGAAACAGTTGAAAAGTCAAAGATGGTGAAGAAGAGAGGCAAATAAGGCGATGCCGAGGTCGTGCGGATTCGAGTGTGGTGCAGGGGGATCGGGGATATTTTCGGGACCCGTAGCCAGGTAGGAGTCAATGGAGGGGTGAGAATCCCCAATCTTCTCCACCTTTTGTTTGTCTGGCGCCTCCATTCATGTGACCTCTGCCTCTGGTCCTTCACCCCTCCCTTCCTCCCTTCCTCCCTTCCTCCCTTCCTCCCTTCCTCCCTTCCTCCCTTCCTCCCTTCCTCCCTTCCTCCCTTCCTCCCTTCCTCCCTTCCTCCCTTCCTCCCTTCCTCCCTTCCTCCCTTCCTCCCTTCCTCCATTCTTTATTCTCCATTCCGCCATTCACCCTCCGCCCGTTACCTCACCCACCAGACGAATGACGGAACGGATGCAAGCAGTGGTTTCCATGACAATTCATTAGCACGGCGCGATCAGCTTTTTGAGAAGTCGGTCAGACACGATGAGTCACCACGGAAGCTGCATCCACAATCAGTACATGATTACATAAGTACGAATCCTTATTATTGATGGTTGAGGTCTACTTCCGAAGACCTCACATGTATTTACATAATTCTGACCCAAACTGAAATCTTTACACGTATGTATTGTGCAATATCTGAATTTTTTTCTGTCTTTAGATTCAGTTTTCACATGTTACGTGACGGACCAAAGCCATGACACTTCAAAGCTGCACGAATTTCTCCCCATGACTGACTGAAGACATGACACATGGAAGAAATCACCCTCACCACACATGATACTTCACAGGACACGTCTTGATGCCTGATTATGATCTAGTGACCTAAACCTATCATGCATGACAGCTCTTACCTGGGTAGCATGAAAATCAGAGGATCTATGTGTCCTCAAGAATCCAAGCTTCAGGAGGGTAGAAACCACTCCATGCATGTCATTTGCCCATTTCAAATGTATGGGGACATGAAGCTAGCTCTAAAGATATCTTCCTCCAAGTCTGAGGCCATGAGGGGTCGTGTGGATTGGTGTAGCTGAAGTCTTCCACTGGTCATGGCCCAAATGGTCATGCCACTTTGAAGCAGCATGGATCTTCAGCCTGTCACGACCTCCCCCGTGCAGCTTCGAAGGGTCACGGTCTTCCGTCCGTCACCTAACACACACATCATGAGCAATTTGATCAGACATCCCAATCATGTTTCCATCCATCCAAATGCAGTCTTGACCCTGTGATGTTTGGAATGTGAGTAGCCCTGCGCGGGCGTTATCGAAAACTCACGCAGAAACTTTGCATCCACCGCTGTAGATTGAGGATTATCCCTCAAGAATTCTAAAGCACAAACCAACGAGCAGAACATAAAGTCAATACCACCATAATAACTCTTGTATCTTGGGGCGAATCGTCCCGACGGGAGCTCGACCCAGACGGTTGGTTGAGAGAGACACCATTGACAGGTGATAACTTGATGATCGTCCATATCCTCGTCAGGTATTAGAATTAGTTTTTCACCTTCGATACTGTGATGAGGACACAAGCTCATCAATCCTCTTTCTTCCTCTAACAGAAAGTTCGAACGTGCGATTAGACTTTCCAAGAGTTCCGTCGAGGTGCTTGAACGGGGCAGATTACTGATAAGCTGGTTGCAATTCGGCATATAACATGTGAAGAGAGGTTTCAAGTCTACTGAATCTTGGTCTGTCCAGCCGTTGTCGATGAAGGCTTGCAGAAGATCTAAATTGCTTGCTGGCTCCTCAACTTCCTGTTCGTCGATATAGCAACGTGGTGAGGATGTGTCGGACCTAGGATTCGAGGACGTATCAGACGGGTAAATACTGATAATGAAATCGGTAGTGGGAGGCATGAGGGATATCGTCGAAATGTCACTGGTTATGTCTCTCGAAAGCTCGTTCCGAGCTTATTTAAGCGAGATCGGGTATCAGGGCGAGGCGTCAAGAAGGCAAGGGGCATGGCCGAAAGGGGTTACGTCTATGTACCGTGAAGGGAGGAAGGGAATGAATATCGTACAGCCGAGGATGGATCAATGGAGAATGTGTCGTCTTCGTTCTAGTCGTCTTCTTCCGCGGTCCATAGTCCACTCAGGGCGGTGCTCGATATGACGATACGACATTTGCACTGCCTTTCCGTTAGCGGTCGTATCTTAGAGGACAATAGATGGCGAATAGTGTCACGGAAACGACAAAAGTCTGGAAGGATGAAAGGACGAGGGAGTCAAGGTTGATGGCGACGTTCACTGACGATTGTGTATGTGACGTCTTCTCAATCACTCATGATCTGGAAAACGAATCAATCGCTATGACAGTACCTCTTGCGTGGCGGTATCATATCAGTCGGCTGACCGGAGTACTTCACCTTGGTGTTTGCCGTTCCAGTCAAAACTCTGGGGTCCATATTTGGTATTGATGTCCGCGTCTCGACCTTCTAATCTCCACAAGTCGCCTCTCGAAAGGTTCCTAATCGTACCAGGACGTAGAGCCTGCCATTCGTTGTACGTCAGGAAAAGCAAGGTACAGGCCAGAGAGCAAAGCGCTACCTCGAACCCTTTCCTCTCCGCCGTGTATCTGGTCCTCCAACCTCCTCCGTCGTTCCCATCTTCTCCTGAAACGTTCGTGAATAGCAATATCGGCTGTTCGCCACAATAAGCGCACACGTCACTCTCGGCTGGAGCAAGTTGTGCATGACCATGTTGAGGACATAAGAGCATCAAGTCATCGGCTTCAGCTTGAAAGAATTCCACTAGATATTCCATTTGTCCGGGAGTTACTGGGTCTTCCAAAGTACCTATGAGAGTATCACACTCTATACATGTCATGAGGTTATTGAGTGAGAATCCGGGAGAGAGTTGTGAAGTCGGACCGCTGGATGATACTGATGCGACTCGATATGCGACCGCTAAGTCTATGGCCCGAAAATCCGATGATGAGTTATGGTCGGGGCGAGAGCGGCGTTGGACGTTGGTGGGATATGGGGTCTGAGAGGTAGCAGTAGGATCACGACTATCCTCAGGTACTGGAGAGTAAATCATTGAGGGTGAACGGATGAGTAACTCTGTCAAGGGAGCGTACGAGTGCGGTGGTGATTCGGAGCCAGAGGCTTCGCTGGTCGGTTCAACAAGATAAGACATATTGTATACGACTAAAAGATGTTTGAATAGTTTGAGATGGCAAGGGGCATACCTCTAAGTATCAGGTATTTGTATGCTAGTGGGGGTGAGGAGTAGAGTGTCGTACATGATCGGAGGAGGAAACGATAAGATATATTGCAAGGGAAGGTGAGAATATATCATTCGGAAATCAAGGGATCCTCTTTCCTCCTCCAATCTACCTTATCTTTTCTCATACTTACTGATTTCAAGGATAATATGACAAGTCTCCTTTACTCGGCTCTTGTGGCTCTGGCAGTATGTTCAGCTTCGCACGCAATGTCGTCGCCTGGGAGGGCCATGGAGGAAGGACAGTCGCAGGAGGTATATACGTTCTCTCACCCCATTCACCTACCCCCCTCCCTCCTCCCTCGGGCACGTCTGTCATACCTTTGCTCCTCTCGCCTCGGACACGAGGAATGATAATATGCTAATATGTAGCCCATGTTCACTCTCCAAGACCTTTCTTACTTCTCTTTGCCCTCGCAGGCCTCTCACCTCCGTCAAGCTTATACGACCCACTGTCAGTCACTTCTATTCAACCAAAGACACCCCGCTGATGCCAAGTCTCTCAACATACTGCCGACCCTCAGACTTACTTTTACGACTTGTTCAGACCCAACGTATCCCTTGCCTACGCAGTAACTACCTATCCCCCCTCCGCCTTCTATAGGTACATCTTGCAAGACCCCGATAGTAAAATGCGGCCTTTGGAGGATGACATGGTTAGGTACAAGGTGTATTTACCTCCCGGTAGGAGACAGGATGGTGGTGGTTCGGTAGGGGTGGATGTCAAATACGGAGCTTGGAACGTTTTTTGGAAGGGTGTAGAAATGGACATGTACGCCGTGACTGTAAGTTTTCCATTGCACCATCTCACTCGTTCGAAACAATAACATCCTTTCCTCTCCTCCATTGTTTTGGTACCCTGAGCCGCAAGTGATCTTGAGACCTGCATCACTATATTGGCCTCCACTACCCCTTGTCTTTTCCCAGAAACAAATCACCATCATTTCTTAGAGAGGAACAACCCGGAATGTCCCTCTTCCCTCATGGTCAGGGCCTGTAGCTGAACCAATCAGTGGACCGAAAACACCTACGCGGTCAAAAACCAAGTCCACCTTATCGTTAAATCCCTCCCAACGGGCGTCTCCCAACTATTCAACTTTAGCAACATCGGAGTCAAAACCGACGGACTGGACGACGAGGAACTGGCCGATCACGCCGCTTCCTTGTTCTTGATTGATGTCGCAGATCATGCGGGACGATTGGGAGACGCCGTATTGGTATACGATCAAGGGTACTGGCGACCGGACACGGAATTGTGGAAGAGTGTTCAAAAAGTGGGTCGGTATCGGTACAATTCCTCACTACTCACGTACACCATAACGATATAATCTTGTCCAGTTTGTTCGAACAAGGTCCCGTTTCATTACTCAATATGGATGATATCGCACCGAAAGAAATGAAATTCATGACAGGCCGATTGGAAAGATGTCATCTTGGATGAAGACATGAAAAAAACCTTACAACATGAATACACATCGTTCCTGTCATCTGAGAAGATATACAAAGATCTTGGTGTTCCGTGGAAAAGAGGTATCATCTTCCTCGGGGTGAGCTCACATTACGATCCTAAGAAGATTTCATACTGAAACGTAGCCGCCTGGGAATGGAAAGACATTCTCCTTGAGAGCAATGATGAAAGCTGTGGGGGTTCCGTTGTTATATGTCAAGACTTTTCATTCGTACATGGGAGACGAATTTGGTGAGCGTTCATCTCCATCTGATACAAAAAGTGGACACAGCTCATCAAAAGGGATCCGCTCAATATTCCAAAAAGCCAGACAACAAGCTCCTTGTCTGCTCATCTTTGAAGATGTTGACTCTCTCATCACCGATAATAATCGGTCGTTCTTCCTCAATGAGGTCGATGGGCTGGAAGATAATGACGGATTGTTAATGTTGGCAACGACGAATCATTTTGACAAATTGGACCCGGCGTTATCAAACCGTCCGTCTAGGTTCGATCGGAAATAGTGAGTTACTGACATTTTCAAGCCACTATACTTGACGCTTGGGTCTGTCGGGTACAGGCTGTCGCTGAGGAGCAGCACCTTCCCTGACCCTAACAAGGTGGAACGACGAGCATACGCTCAGTACTGGAAGAAGAAACTTGTCGGTAACGAACGGGTTGTTTTTCCGGATATCTTGGTGGATAGGTTCGTGGGCAAGACACACGGATTCAGCTTCGCATACATGAAAGAAGCTTTGTGAGTTACCTTTATGTCTACCAGCCATATCTTCCTCCCCTCAATTTTCAAACCACACAGTACCTTTTATCAACAGCTTGTGAGATAAGTTTGGTGGGGGACAAGTGTGGATGATATCTTAAGCCGAGCAACCGAGCTAATTGGAAGTGTTTCTGCCCTTCTCCTTCTAGCATCCGACGAACACAACAAACTGACTTTCACCGATGTTCTACTACAAGAAGTAGAAACATTGCGTAAAGAGCTCGATCAAACGTCCATCCCCTCTAACCACCCTCTGCAATCAGGACACATCCCTGTGGAAGTATCACCAGAGAGGGTGCAGAAGGCGCTTCAGATCGGTAAGCGGGGGATTATCCAACAGAATGGACAGACATGTCTCAAAGTGGAAGTGGATCCATTGTAGTTGTACGTATCTGAGATGACATTTACGTGATTGTGATTCTGTTACAGGAGGCCATTGATTGTTTGAGATGATGAAACAGGTGTCATCTTTGATCCTTTCGTCAATTCAAGCCATCGTAATTGCCAACCGACGCGGCCCATTGATCCTTGGGTAAAAGGTGCTGATTGATGAACCAATCTCCCTTGGAAGGCATGCACGGTGTGGACTGTCCTCGCGTGCTCATATAATAGCAAGCTCTCATCAACTCTCGTAGTGAATTGTCCGGCCTTAATACATCCCCTGGTTACACTCCACCTAACAACATCATGTCTAATCTGCAGCCAACACAATACTCAGCCTCTCTGTTCACCCAGCAAGGGAAAGCAATACAATCTACCACACCAGCTCACTCATCCTCCAAACGTTTGCCGGTGAAGCCCCGATCTATGGAGAGCTATCGACTTGATCCTCTTCAACCCTATCCAACTCGACCATCCTGGTTTCTTGCTGGATCATCACTTCAAACTCCTGGTATTCCTCAAATCAATGAAAATGTCGAGTCGGCATCTTACAACACTACTGCCATGTCAAATCCCCGAACATCAATTGGACTAGACGCATTCCCACTTCCAACATCTGCTGAAAGCCACAAGATACGGTCGGTGGGAGAGGCGTCACCCCAATTGTCAGATTCATGGAGTATAGACAAGCTATGTCCAGACCTCCCAGTTGACACCGATCCGGATTATATGGCCTACAAGAACTCTGTTGGATGGGAACCACCAGTAGAAGGAATTCCCGTCTTTCATCCTTCTCGCTACAGTAGACAAGTTGCTTACGCAATTGACTCACTCTATCAACCCTCATTCCAAGGTTTTGTCTCCCATGATGAGAATGAAAGGGATTTCTCGGAAGATCCAGAAGTTGCGTTACAAGAGGATGAAAGGCATAATCAAGATTACCAGCAGGGACACCATCAATCAGCTGGAGAGGGGGAGGAGTGGAATGTACCGAATGGAAGTCAATGGAATATGGGACCTCCTGGATCTGGAACAGCAACAAAGTCGTGGAATGCTGTCAATCAGAATTGGTAGGTTGAGTAGGGATGAACGGGTTGATGAACAGTCATCATCCAAGTTGCAGGCCAATCTCAGTATGAGAGTATGCATTTGTTGAATTTGACTGGTCATCCAAAAACAAACTTCGGTGCTGACGTCAACCAAGTGCTGCCTTACACTGAAAGCAAATGTGTCAGGAAATCTCCTGTATAGAATTGGTATTGCTTACCACGCATGTCCTCGTCAAGAAACGGGCTCTAGATTTTTGTGAGACAAAGCCTTGTGACCGACGAGTACATGAGCAATCAAGTTGTGTATGACAGAGGAAGATACATTCTTCAAAAAGAAACCAACTGGTTTTGAGAATGTATATGTCAACCGTGATCAGGGTAGCCAAACACATATCTTCATGTGTGACATCTCATTCATGACAAATAGGCCCCCTTGAGGCCTGAGGACTGGTCTGGGCGATGACACCATCATTCCGCCATGTTGTCTATGACGACTTCTGACACGGCCAATCGGGGCCTTGTCACGGTCAATGAGACTGATGTGGCTCGTGTTGAGTGACACAATGAAAAGATGAAACCAGTCAATACAAGCTCCTTTGTGTCTGCCCTTCAACTGCATGTTGTTATCATACGTGGACACTTGGGACCTCCTCACATCTGAGATGACGTTACGCCATCATGGATCGGTCTTTGAGGTATATAAGTAGCGACCCTTCTCCTTCTTCGCGCCTCCATACGTCAATCAAACAAAGTGAGCCGCGCAACATTCTGACTGAATCTTTCACTGAGCAGAAACGAATAGCAACTCTTGACAGCTATCCACTCAAGATAAGAACATCCGAAGTCTGTTTACGCTTCAAACAAAAAAGCTCAACCCACTCTCCTCCAGAGCATGGATCCTTGGGCTCCTTCCAGGCCTCGTGCCCTTCAATCCAGGTCATCACATGGGCCCCATGACTCTGCAGGTACTACAACAAATTACAACACCACTTATCCATCAATTCCTCAAAGCTCCATTGGAGGAGTAGACCCACTTTACATGACTACTGCTATTCCTGCTGAAGAATCAGTCCTTCATGAGCCCAACGAGTCCACCCTTCTTCCAAGCCAAGGGATTAGTCGTTCTACTCTTCCTTCACCCAACGTGGGCTCAAGCACCAGAATCCCTGTCTCAATGCTCGTGTCCTCAGGACCTGACACTACCCCTCATAATGGTTGTTATCCAGTTGAGGGAGCACAGGATGAATCTTTTTACTCTCCATACATAATCACAGGTCTCTTGTCAGGATCACGGGTACCTATAGACGGGTTCCTCAAGAGTCGTACGCAGAAGTCATACTCCACCTACCCGTTCCCGTACTCCACCTATCCGTTCCCGTCCCCGTCTCTCAATTCCCGCTACGGTGTCCTCCGTTCTCCTGTCCTACCTAATCGTTACTTCTTTACCATGCTATACTTTTCCTTCATCTCCGTGTCCCTCATCTATCTCCGCCTTCCTTTGTTCTCACACCCCATATCGCTTTCCACATTTACTCCGTAGATTCGGTATCACTCCGCTCCTCTTTTAGTATATAGAAACACCCCTTTTTCGTAGATGTCTTGTTGAATGTATTTTCTCGTCACTTAGCAAATCTTTTGCCACTTGATCTCATCGACTATAGTCTCTTCGATCTACTACATCACTAGACTATAAACTACATCACTAGGTTTGTTCCCTGCGAGGCCCTATATCCATAGCTCATAGACGCAGACTATTTCAACGTCTGGTCCTGACATCTCTCCTCGACTTCTGCGCAAGAAACTCGAAGAGATACAGGGCAAGACTCACTGCAACAAAAGTCAGTATCTGAAACAGATGAACTGGGAGGAAGTCACACAATCTCTCTGCTTAACACTCCTGTGCATCTGAATCAGATTCCAAATCCCTCTTTGACATACCAAGGAGCTTCAGTGCGCCAACGACTTTTCCTCAGCGGGCTTCAACATCCTCAAGGACGGCCTTCTCAGTATGGACATGTGCCTCCTTGGCGGTTGCCTCAGGGGAATCGTCCAGGCGGAACTTGGGACGACTACGGTCGGGGTGCTTCATCCTATGATCTCGGGGATGAGGATGAAAACGGTGGCGAGGCATTTGCGGATCGATATTTCGATGAAGAAGAAGAGGAGGAGGATAATCTTAGAGAAGAAACTCCGTGGAGCAGACCATATGACTCCTCAGATGAGATGAGGGATGAAGCATTTGGGGATAGATATCTGGGAGGAGGGAGGCAGTAGTCATCCCAGCAGAAAACACCTGAATCACTGGTCACTGAGTGCTGCGATGTTACTGTAGTGAGCTTCAACAATGATATGTGCAATATCTGAGTCACATGAAAGAGTATGCAGATGCGTGAATGAAAGCCATTCTGCTACAGTAGTAGTAGTACTTATTTACGTGAGCAACTGAAGCCGTGACGTCTCTGCAGTCTCCATCCGTCACTTGACATGATATCTCCCTTGTCTTCTCCAAAGTAAGCACGCAAGATGTGCTCAGTGTTCTCCTTTATCGTATTACCCCTGTCTCATATCATCACATCTCTGTGATGTAAATGTTCAGAGCCAGCACTTGAATTTCTCAAGCTTGAGTATTAGTGATGCCCCTTTCCCTCATTTTCAATCCTTACCAAATATACTAAACTTGTTGGTCCTACAAACTGACCAGAATCACAATCCCTCTTGGGAGATTTTTACTGAGTGTACTCTTCCAACAAGAACCTTCAGAAGTATCACCCAGCCAACAAGCCGTGGCTGTAGACACAAATCATCCCGTGCGACTGTCGGATCAAGGTCAACTCGGTCCAACACTACTACTAAAGCACCGTTAACTCAGCCCTCAGGTGGCCAGACTGGTGCACATGACGTGACCCACCCATCAACAGAAGAGGTCTACTCTCCAGAGCAGGATCCTACTCACCCGTCAAATGAAGGTGGTTGGTACTTGGATTTGGGGTCCAGCCGCAGCAACATTCAAAATCCCACTTCCATGTCTTTCCAACCTTATTCTACTGTTCCAAACAATCAGTTTCAGAATGTTCAGTCCAATCAAGTACAGGATTCTGAGTTTCGATCTGCGCGTGTTCAACTTTCTACATTGCAGCCGAGACACCAACCTCTGGCACAAGATACCTCGTTTGGAACCGAACAGAGCAAGTACAGCCGGGAGACAGTCGGTCTTTGATACTGACCAACTAGGGAGAAGACATCCAATCTCCCTGCTTAACACTCCTGTTGAGCTCAATCAGGAGCAGATGCTGGCTCCCAATTTGACATACCAAGGCTCCTCATCTGATCCACGACGTGCGGTGATGGCACTTCGAGCTATTGGAGAATGGCCCATATCCCCCGAGCCGTCAAATCAGAGTCCGTCCATTGAGCAAGTACCTTCTTTGCTTGAGTCTCAAAACTATGGTAACCAATATAGACAGGACGCTTCGACGACTAGTCTTGACTGTTATGATGATGTGGGTGCAGGGGCAAGTGACAACAGACTCTTTGAAGGTGAGGAGGAGTGGGAACCGGGAGATCCAAACTCATGGAGCGGATCATATGACCCCTATGATGCCCCATGAGGTGAGGCATTTGGGGACCGACATATCCATGGAGAAGGCGGACAGTCGTGGTGTCGGAGAAGAGACTCCCTGGGGCAGATTGGTCTGAGATATGGCATAGTCAGTACATACTTGTATGAGAGCTGTGAAAGCAGTATGCACACCTGTGAAGCCAAACAATTCTCCTGACGGTCAGGTGACATTGCGCCATCAATATCTCTTTTCATATCTCAAACCAATTGGGCGATTCTCTTTTGTTTATACAGGGGTTCTGCATGAAACATGTTCAAGGATAATGAGGACTCATGGGCCCTACACAGTCAAAGAAAGCCTGTGTCTTATATAATATCCATCATGCCTCTGCATTGCCCACTACTTTCATCTACCCAGTCTTATTCTGCGCCCTAATATTCTACTTGAATCTGATATATACAACATGGATCACACCAACCTTTACCCGCAATCTTCGGGAAGGGACACGTCATTCTCAGATTCAGCAACTGGCCCATCCCATCAATCTCCCCCGCAGGGTGCCGTAATCTATTCTCCTTTCGATGAGAACGGGAAAATCAGAACCCAGGGGCTACCTTCCCTACTTCATTTGATCAGAAACTCTGAACAAAACCTACATCCCCTAAATACAACTTTTTCAGTTCATGGCCAAGAAACCACAGAAGTTTTACCTCTCCAATCCAATCAGGGAACTCCGTCCCCTGGACTGAGCAGCGGAACTGAGATTCCTGGACAATATATTGCCTCAAACGCTTGGTCCCATGATAAGCCCTATTCTGACCTCCCACCTGAATCAATACATTCGGATGATCTGCATCGCCAGGAGCGGACATCTGACTGGACAGATCCGCAAGCTCCACGGCTGCTATTTCACCCATCCGTGCGTCATACCGCAATAGATTCTCTAGACTATCAACCATTTTATTACTCGAATCCAAACGCTCCCATCGGTAGACAGTATATGAACCCTTTCCATCACACACCTCAAGGAGGAGCGAGTCATCTGACCGTAGACTTAGAAGTGGATTCTGGGCAGACTGGAAGTGTGTCTCCCCAGCCGCAAATCATGTCGTATCGTCGAGCGGATGGTTCGCAAGCTTATTTCCAAGTGAGTGATGAAGATGATCACTTGCGAGCGAATGAAACGATGGAGGGTCTGGAAGAGGATGAGTGGTACAACGCGAGTCAAACATGGGCATCACGTCGAACGTAGTCTGCTACAAAGTACTGCTATAGTCTACATAGGAAGTCAAGATTGGAGAAGACTTCATTGGAATGCATATGTTGAGTGGCATACTGGAGTGTGAATCTTACAAGGGTCACAGTTTTGATTGTTACCAGTGGAAGATCCCTGCTGCTCACAAGGGTCTTGTAAATTGAGACTGTGGCCTTTCAATTATCCCAAAACTTCTCACTTAGGCCATGCAGGGTAGAAGACTCAACATCTGTACATGTCACACCACCCAGAGATGTTGGTAGAACAAGCTTGTGACTTGTGAAGGTAATTTGAGTAGAACAAACAGTAAGTGATTGTTGCTATGTATAGTTTGATAGATCACACAAGGGTCATCACATCAGACACATCTACAGTCGCTGTCAAAAGTCTCCGTACAATCCGCGCGCGCGCATCGATCATCGGCCACTCACCACTTCTTCTATAGACATTTAGATGCATTTTTGCAAGTTCAATCATGTCTGCAGCCTATCTTAGTACTTGATAGCGTACCCCTTAGCATGCTTGACAGCCTCGACCCTCCTTGGCATGCTAGCCACCACCTTGTTGACAATATCCATGTCTATAGCTTCCCACTCCGCCACACAATGTTCAAACAACTGCTCCACGTTTGTCGCTCTTGGAAGGCGCTTGCTAACCTTGTACTTCACCATTGACCAGAGATTCTCGATAGGATTGACATCCGGAGATGAGGGAGGGTGGATAAGTGAATGGAGACCAAGTGTATCACGCTTTTGCTGACTGTGTTTCGCTTTGTGGCATGGAGTGTTGTCTTCAACTACTAGGACCTGGAGAGAATCAGCGGAATTTTGTCTTGTCTCTTGTCATGAACTCACCATCCGGTCAATCTCTGCAGACAATATCTCTTCATACTCCTTAAGCTTTGGTAAGACAATCTCGGAATAGCGAACGGCATTGAGTCCTCCAGGAGGAAGAAGAATGAGAGGGAATTTATGATTATGTGCAATAGCACCCCATACCATGATAGACTTCCTCCCAGATCGAAATGTTGGTTGAAGATGTTTCAAATCAAACGCCTGTCCAACTCCTCGAGTTGTATAAGCACGCCTTGCAAGTCCCAACTCCAAAGACATCTCATCTGTGAAGATAACTCGACTCCAATCCTGTCCTACATTATCCTTTGCCCAATTGATCCGCTTTTCGATTGCTTGTGGGCGTAAGAAAGGGGTACGGCGCATGACTCGGCGGTGGAGACCATGTCTGGCCGCAATGCGGCGGATGGTGGGTTCACTGAGGTTGTATGTGGAGGCAATAGAGCCAAAGGGAACTTGGGGATGATGGGTGATATCACGGATAATTCGACGAGTAGTTCTTTCCATCTTAGAAGGGCGTCCTGGGCGTGGGCGATCGTAGGCGGTGTCATATCGTTTGTATCTTTCGACTGTATATTGGATGGTAGATCGAGGCCAGCCTAGCTTGCGAGCAATTTGACCAAGTGTGAGGCCAGCTCTGTGAAAACCAATGACGGTACCACGTTTGGAAGGGGTTCGAGGGATAGGAACCTTGGTGAGGAAGATGGGTGGAGAGGAAACCCTCTAGTACCCTTCTTATGTACTTTCTTGCTTCCAAATCTTGCATACACCTCCACCTCGGTCATGACTATCATTACTCAGCAATGCATGCATCAGCACGTAGCATAGGGGTCATAGGAACGGGGGATGTGACAGGGGTCAAGGACGAAACCAGGTGGTTGAGGTGTCTCCGATGATCGGTGTACGGAAACTTTTGACAGCGACTGTACATAGGGTCTCTAAACCGTAACTGAATATTCATTGTCATTGCTACTACAAGTACTCTGACCTTCCCTCCAATTCATGATTAGTTTATCTTGTCTTGCCACTTGGCCGTGATGTGGACCTGCACACACAACTTGAGACATGTTACATCCTTCTGTCCTTTCAGATCACTCCCCTAGGTATGACACAACATATTAATTGTATCATCTCAATGTAGCAGCTGCTCAACAAAGGTGATATTTATGTATGATTTTTTGCCTTCCTTTCCTCCTTTCATTCTTCTGGCTACTTAATCAATCTGTCTTGTAAATCAAGAGAAGGCTGAGGTGAGTGAAGATCATGCTTTCAGGTTTCACTTTCTCCTCAGACGTTGAGGGGTCTACTTAAACTGCCCAAAAGCAGTTTCTGCACTATTTTGCCACTCAATAATCAATCATATCAGAATTGTTCCTCCACCTGTTACCTGAAATTCTCCAAAGTGATCTTTCCCATGAACTCTTACACCCAAAACCCTCACCTCGCCAATGTAGATCAAGACTTACAGTACTCATACTCGGAAGCAGAGTCTGCACTCCACTTTGTACCAGACACCCGGTCGTCTCATACAATCACTGGAGACAACAGGACGCCTATCAGTTTCTTCACTGAATCCGGCGTGGCTTCACCGCAGTCATCCCGGGATGGCATGTCCAACTTTCCCATGTCACCACCCACAGGGTTGAGAGGTCAGAGGAGATCAGGGGCCCAAGAACCAGGATATCGGGTCACAGTGACTACTCAAGGTGAGAGGGATACAAACAGATATGAATCCGCACAAGAACGTGATGAACGTCTAGCCTGGGAAGCAGAGGAGCGCCAACTCAGCGTACCATTCAGCGGTTCTACTCAGCACTACCATTCTCTATGTAGAAGAAAACGTCAAGACTCTCTCTCTGGATCTTCTTCTCTGACCGCAGACGATGGGAATGATTCAGTAGATCCTCAGCTTGATGATAATTGTCGGGCCAGTCCCTCACAAGCGGAGTTTTATGACCTCAGTGCTGACAGGGCAAACAATAGTATAAACCAAGAACAAGCTCTACAACCCATCGACATTGATGGGCAGCAGACGGATTTGGGAGTGGGTAACTCGGTAGAGGAGTGGGAGCAAGAAGATGACTACGAGGACATACCATCACAAGAGCAATTGGTACCCATTTCAGGTCTCTCTGATAGTGAAGCAAGCCAAAGGGTGATGACCTTTGGTCCCCTTCCCTCACCTGTCCAACCTCTCTCCTGGAACCAATCAGCCGACCCACTATCTCACTTGTCACGGTTGAACGCACAGATGATGGTTCCTTTACCTCCGCCCACATCGGCTATCCAGCATCCGCGCTCCTTGGTCTTTTCTCTCCATCGCCAGAGACAGCATAGGTCACAAGTTGGATTGTTGGAACCTACCCATAGATCCTCTGAAGAGGATGACAATATGAAACCTCCAGGGACAGATCCTGCTTGGTGACGAGAGTACAAGTAGTGTAGGGGAGAAAGGTGTCTTTTTCATGATGACGGTTCAGGTGGACATCTTGTGACATCTTGGTACTGGTGCAGCTCACGGGCAGTCGAGATTCGCAGTGAGGGATAAGAGCACATTTGACATGCATGTATTCTGATGCAGATACGGGTCCTGAAGTCCCCCTGACCCCGCTATGCAGCCGTCATCCCTTCTCACCTCCTTCTTTTGCCATCTGATCGTCATAATGGTGGCGGAGTTAGCTCTTTCCTTTCTCTCTGTGTATCCACAAGCAGAAGGTCATCCTCTCAGAGTCACACTTTCCTTTCCATCTACGTCGTTTGGACAAACCTCATTCAGCCTTAGGATCTAAGCGAGTCGGACTTGATACTAGCCCGACTCGGACATCTGCCGTACACATTTCGACGTCATCAATCCCTGGTGTATTAAAACCCACGGTCTCCGTCCCCTCTCCAAGTCCAACTCCCTATCTTTATTATCAACTTATTGACTGGGTGCTAGTATATCTGATCATCAACACCCATTGATTGACTTACACAGTATGAACAACACTCACACACGACCCATGGGTCTTGCCAACCTTCTCAATCCTCAATCATCACCATCAACGGTCCCAATCTCAGAAGCAGAACAAACCTCTCAGTCTGTCACTGACTCTAATTACTCGGGAAAACATGCAAGCGATGAATCCAGACTGACATCTCTGACGGTGGACCAACGGATGTTATCCCGTCTTGATCAATATACGTTTGCAGGGATACCCATGGGTTCCCCTTCTTCTCATCCTTCTCATCGTTATCCTATTGGTGAAGAATCTGAAAGCGCGTTTCCTTCAAACTCTGAAGCCTTTGGACCGCAGCCTCAACATGCATGGTATGGTGATGATTTAGAACCTTGGAGAAACAATCATTCTAAATTGTTGAATACTTCTGTACCACCACAAGCACCAAATCATCCCCAATTGACATATCAGTCTAACCGTTTTTCTTCTTCAAATCAAGGTACACAGGGATCTACATACCAAGGTCCGTCAAATCCCTACACCCCTCCACCTCGTTATCAACGTGGGGCATATCAAACCCCAAGGAACTTACCATCGCGGATGTCAATAAGTAATGGAGCTGGAAATGGGTACCACGAATCCACCCAGATAACTACAATTGAGGCTATCGCTATCGAATGGGATTCAGATGATGAAGGATATGATGTTCAGGATGTGAACCATCTTTACGGTGGTGGGGGTCATTAACGTGATCTTATCGTGAAAGATAGATAACACAATAACGATGTCATTCTGGTCGGATATTGAAAGTGTGATAAAGCTGGGAATGACTCAGATGCACATGATGAAAGATTGAAACGAGTTTCATCCATTCCTTCCTTTGATTCCTCCCAAAACTCAGCTGAGTTTTACTATCATAGACCGTTTGGCGTGAGAGGCCATTAAATTCATGTAACAGTTGAGTAGCCACAATTTCCTTCAGATGATACCCTGTGTGACGCACATGGGCGGGCGCACATGATCTGAGTTGGAAGATCTATCAGTACTCCGCCCATGATTCGGTCCAAGCCCAAGCCCGACGGACTATTGCTGATTATATAAGTCATCAAGTCATCAACTTCTGATCTATAAAATTGAATATATCACTATCATTTCTACAACTGATAATCCTTGCTACTTCTTCCTCATAAAGGCCAATCAAAGAAAAGTAACTCTGTCTCTTCAGATCATATCATCAAAACCAAGTCAGAAGCTGTTTTCAAAATGTCCCATTCTAACCAGACTTACAGCCCTTATGACCTACAGTCTAACACCAACCTTCAAGGAAACTCCCAACTAATCGATCCAGATACCCAAGCGGCCTTACTCAATCCCTCTCGTCCCACATTATCGGCCCTAATGAGACGTCATTTGAATAGTAATAACGGTAACATGTCGAGAGCCCAATCACAACAGGCAGGAATTACTCTCCCGTCTTTCTCGGAATTGGTGAATGATGCTATTTCAGGGGGTAATTTCCAACAAGGAGCTGAAGCAGTTATTCATCAAGCACAAGACACTTCAGGCTACCATACTCAACAATCAACTGTCCAGGGTAGCTACCCAGATACGGGATATTACGGAGATGATAGAAACAGAGCTGAGAACTATGGTTATCCAACAACCTCTGTGACATCCATAGACTGGCAAGATCAACATGCATCGTCTAGGCAACATACAGGAGAACATCACGCTTACACCACCACACCAGGCTACTTACCACCACTCCCAACTAAGCCTACCAGCACCATGAACGCAACGGACATATCACAACTTCAGATGCTAGGTAGACGTTCACGTCACCCTGGTCCTTCCGATCCGACCAGATCTCAAGTCAGTGCGAGTGGCACCTTCCCTCAGACAAATGTGGAAGGGTATGGTGCTACTCCAGGTCACTTATCCCAAGTCACTTATCCCACCCCTCCATCTCAACAGCCATTCGTCCCTGAAGACGTGGACGATGTATATGTTTTTGCTGATCGGACACGGGAGGATGACAGGGACAATGAAGATGGAGAGGAAGTCTTCGGTCAAGGATTGTCAAATGGACATACAGATCCTCACGGGTGGAGCAGGGGTCACCATTGGGATCTTGATTAGCACCACCAACGTCAATGCCATTTCCACTATTAAGCCTTTCGCGAGTAAGATCGAATTTGGTGATGGCGAAGAATCAAAGATGGAACAAAGGAACGTTACATGAACATGATATATGCATGAGATGATATGTGCTCTAAGTAGCCATACCGGCCACCATTTCTCACCACGAGAGTCGGTGAATGATGATGGAACTGGAGGGTGTCAATCGGTCTCCCCTCAACGGACAGGAATTGAGGGTATCGCTATACAATGGCATGAAGATGATGAAGGAGATGATCATGATTGGCTACGGCCTTGGGCTTCTTACAAGAGGGAACCGCATTGACAGATTTCCACATGTAAAGATGAGACAATGATAATGTCATTATGTTCGGAGCGTCGAATAGTGGTAAAGCTGAGAATGAATCGGATGCACATGATGAAAGATCGAAACGAGTTTCATCAAGTCCTCCTTCATCCTGACTCCGATCACTCTGCTTCTACGAGAGTGATATCCCCAAGGTAGCACGCAATTGATTTGATTTAAAATTTTTACCTTTATACCACACTACAGATACTCACGTCATACTGTACCCCGTGTGACGTACGCGAGTGGGTCAAACATGGGCCAAGTCGAAAGATTTTCTCACTCCGTGCGTCATTTATTCTTGGCACGGATTATTTCTGATATATATACAACCATCAAGTCATACATTGTTTATCCAAGAATTCTAATAACCTCAATATCACCTCGGCTTAACACCACTCTGGCCACTACTTCAGCGTACATACATAACCTTTTATTCAAACAGAAAAAGTAAATATACATCTGTGCTCTCATAACAAAAACACAGTCAGAAGCACTATCTAGAATGTCCTACCCTGACCAGAATCATGACACATACTATGACCCACGGTCCAACTCAAACCTTGAGGGAAGCTTTCAACCAATCAACCCAAGCACCCGACAATCCGGCCTATTGGAATATTATAGTCAATGCTTGTCTGATCTCGAGCGTAATCATGGTAATCAAGGTGATCAAGGTGATCCTTCCACTTATTCAGGAGATCAGCTAGCCCAAATGGGTCTAATTTTTCCTCCTCTTCCACCAGCATTGCTGGATGGGGACCTTCATTCTCACACTCAAAGCACCCAAGCAACAAACTTTCAAAGATAAGTTCCTTTGGGATACTACACTCAAGGAAGGATGGCACCTGTGGGTAGCTACTCACAGGTGCCATATCAACATATTGATGCAAACATGAGCCATCCCCACCATGATTATCCAGCCGCAACCACTAGGTCTTCAAGGGGCCAACACGGACAACACCGACCACACAATCAATCCTCTTTTGATGATCATTACAGCAACTCCACTATGCCAAGCCGTGGGCTACCACGCCATGGAGACTTGCCAGACGTCCTTCACCCTGACAACAATGCCGAAACCTTGGGATCCATCGACAGAAGCCAACTTCAGAGCTTAGGTAGACCTGTACGTCAGTCTGGGTCTTCCATTCGACCCGGACCACAAGTCAGTAGGAGCGACACCTACCGTCAAGCAGGTATGGGAGGGAATGGTACCACTTTTGGTCAATCCTCACAAGTCACTTATCCAGCATATCCATCTCAACAGGGGTTTATCCTCCCTGATGAGGAAGAACAGGACGCTTTTGCTGATCGAACACTGGGGGAAGACTGGGATGACAGAGATGGAGAGGATGGGTTTGGTCAAGGACCGTCGGATGGACATACATGGAGCGGGGCCAACCATTGGGATTTTGATTAGCACCACCAATATCATTTCCACTATGCTTTTGACGAATGAGATGGCAACTGGCGGTGGCAAAGTTTTGAAGATGGAGCGAAGATTTGATTGAGATGATATATGCATGAGATGATATTTTTGCTCTAAGTGGCCATGACGGCCACTATGCGAAAGTTGTGAGCGTCGGGATCGTCAGGATGAGATGTGGTTTTCGACACTTCACACGTCACGCTGATCATTAGTGAGAACGATACGGGTGACACGACGACTCACTAGTGGTCTCCAGGAGTGACCTTTTCGTCGATGTATGCCACTCTTTGTAAGTCAGCTCGAGATCTATGTCGTGCCTCATCGAATGAGAGGGGTAAGGGGATGGCGCAAGGAAATTGTGACATACACTGCCACATTGTATTGTTTTGTCCAATACCCAGCCAGCGTGACTGCACCCTTTTCGTTATCGTCCACCCAGCATTTAGCATCACCCAGATGATAATGTTGAGATCTGTAATAGTATACCGCCACCCTATTGATCAGCCCTGTCAGCATCGTGAAGGACCTTTGTTCACGCCGCATTGTTGAAGAAAGAAATCATGACTCACCTTCCCTCATTCACCTTGATGTCCACTCGTATTCTCGCTCCAATAGTCGAAGAGACCCAAAAGTGTTTCTCACCGTTCCACACAAATGGCTCCCAACCCTCGCTGCTCGTAGGTGTCATAGGATTATCATGATCATTGGCGTCCGCGCAAAACATTCTTGGCTGAACAAGTCCTGTCACATGTCTCGAAGAGCTCGGATCGGGTTGACGAGGGTTCACCACGTCTCGTAATGGTGTGAACAACCCCACCAAAGGGATAGAGTATGGGGTTGTGGGTAAAACGAAATGTCGAGATTCAGAAGTGAGACGTTGGAGTGGTTCAAGATCAAATGTCGATTCCCAGCCGGGTGGAGGAGTGGTAGGGTCTGTCATATGTGGGGAGTCTAGGTTGAAAGGGATGGACACAAGATCGGATGATAAGAGGGTGGTGGAGATGGTATCAAATTCTATACGTGGAGGAGGGATACCGAAACGATTCAGCTGACAAAGCTCAGATTCTAAGTAAGCAATCAGAAGATCGGCGAGGATTCGCTGTGAGTCAGCGACAAGTCGAATTACGGACGAGATATCCTCACGTGTCCCCGGGCGTTGGGATGAAGGATATCTTGTTGGTAGAAGGCTCGTGAGGTGGAAGCGGGGAAGCGGAGGTAGTGATTGAACATCAGTCGTTTCATTCTGAATGTTAGTCTACATATCGCACTCTCACCTGAACATACACAAAGGACTCGCGACAAACACAGTAGATATTCTGTGGAAGGGAGAAGACAAGCTCACGAAATATATGGAATGTCGTAATAATGCGCTATAGGCAAATGAATCATCTGTGGATCTGCATAGCCCACATCTTGAGCAACCTGCGGAGCCCAGGCACCAAGTATCACCACAGCTGGTTGGGATGTGAACTCTGAAAGAACCCGCAGAAGTTGGTCGAAGAAGGCTTGATAAATATCATCCGGTTGGTCATTGACGTCAAACTCGAGGACGATCAGATCCGTGTCATCGGCGATATGGTGAGTCTGAAGATAAGCTATCTTCTTTTTTGAGAGTGGGAAAGCTGACTCCACAGAAGGCATAGTAGCTCGTCTGTCAGCTGACGCCCAAAACCGCTGTGTAACTCACCTCGAATCCATTCCACCGATGGCCCCATTCAAAAACTCATGATGTGACTTTTTTTGTCAGCTAAAGGAGATCGTTGCCCGGATGAACTCACATTGGGAAATGTATCGGTGAACCACTGATTCAATAACGAGGTATAGCATCCCGGACCATCTGGATCTCCTTGAGGATATTCTGGACTTGGATGTACACCATGACAAGCAGATACTATTCCTTCATCAGCTTGACCTACATTTGGCGAATGCTGGTGACTAACCTGATCCTCCCAATATGCCCACTTTGATAGGTTCTCCATCTCTGGCTTTCCGCAACACTTTCCTCATCCTCGCTCCAGATCCCTCAAACAGCCTACTAGCTCGTAGTCCCTCTTTATCATACACCTCACATAACCTTTCTCCCTCCGATGTCGCCCCGCAAAGACATCCAAGCGCCCCATCACTGATCTCGTCCAGTTGGCCTTTGAGACCATTCAACGACATATGGGGTAATGGGGGTAAACCTGGGACGTGCGGATGAACGATAGCGTAGATTGATATGAGTAAGAATGGGGTGGAAAGTGCTAAAACGGGTGTCATCCACCGTCGCCATCGATGATGATGTCCATTCCTTCGCCATTTCGTCTCTGGCAAGAGGGAAGGTGAAGGGGGAGGTTCAAGCAGCGGTCGGGTGGATGATGATGGTTCTGCCGATCCTGGTTGACCATAAGAGGACATCTCCAAGTCCGATGGAGTACCCCTAGGAGGAAGCATGATGGTAGAGGGGAGGTCACAAGGAAGGAGGATAGACCGGTCAAGTCGCAACTGGAAGCGGGGAGGGAAGGAGGCGGCGATCTCCGCTAGGTTAAATGCAATGTGGCACCTCTCAAAAGTGGCGATTTCAGACATTTGCGCACGGGCCTTCTCCGGGCTGTCCCCTTCTCACACTGCCTCGTTCTGTCATACGTCCGCACCTTCCAACACAGTACCTCGTAAGTATCAAATCACAACTAGACCGGGAAAGAACCCTTCACGAAGGGGTGTACCTAGCATTCGGCTTCGTCACACCCGAAATCCTTCCATTTCGGCCGAAATCGCTTCCGTTAGGCTCCGAGTGGTGAACTCAGAGATCCACTGGATCATCGGGACAAAGGTGTTGCAACCACTGCTGTACAGGAACATAGATCGAAGCGGGTCATTTCGATGAAGATCTCGGACACAAGGAATACAACCCGGAAAAAGTTCATCGACAGAGTCTTCGGCCGTTTGACACTCGGAGTCATCAATCAAATGTGTCCCCCTGGCTGTTTCAAATACCCCATCCCTTGACATACGATGGAGAGACTGTCTACCAATAAGTACAGTTTGTCAATCATGATACAGTGGGGTATCATGGCCAACGGAACCCGTTTCTCACCGGAATTCGGCTGTGTCTTCAGAATGTCCATCCATCACATGCTAAATTTCAATGATCCTGGAGAACGCATCTGTACACCATCAACAAAGTCTGTCCATCTAGTCAAGAAGAGTACTTCCAGCTACTATACGAACCATGCATGAGTAATAATCTTGATCTACAGGGCCAAGAACGACGGGGCATTCTTCAGGTTCTGGCTGGCCAATGTTTGGATTGTTCCTCCTTTTCTTGCTAAATACTTGGGTTCACACTTCTCATATGCCTTAGCCAATGAAGCATCTGATGTAGGTTGAGCAGAGATATTGGAGCCTCCTTCCGGATTTCTGAATGCAAGTGTTGGGTGCTGTATGGAAGACGTGCCACTTAGAAGCTGCACGGGTCCTGAGACCTGTCATGAATAGTGATAAGGAATTCTGACTCATGCTCAGAATAGTGATAAGGAAATATGACTCATGCTAGGAACTGTGATAAGGATTGAAGGAAAATGTGACTCATGGTATTTAGCAGTTCAGCAGTGAGGCATTTACGTGATTGGCTGAAGCCTGGAAGGTTCAGCAGTTTAGCAGTGAGGCATTTATGTGATTGGCTGGAATTAGTTTCCCGTGGTGCACTCACTTTGAGGCATTTATGTGATTGGCTAGAAAATCCCTCACACGCTTTTTATTTAGTACACCTACTTTAGTTTTGAAGGGTATAAAAGGAGCACATCTCCCCCCTCTTTCTTCAGCAATGTATCTTCATCTTGAAGTTGAACTTCATCTTTGAAAGTCACCTAGTTGGTTCTAACCCAACACCTCAGTACCCTCAGTACCTAAGGCAGTCATCAAGCTCTACGAGCCAGAGACTAAAACCCTTCAGTACCCAAGGCAGTACTTTGCAACCGCAGTCTACCCGCAGGCGTGACAAGACCCCTTGACGTGCCAGACTGAAGATCCATGCCACTTCAAAGCTGCACAGGTTGAAATCATGACTCTTCAGAGAGTCACATCTTCTGGGTCATGCAGCTCAGAAGATTTGAAGTTTTTCAAACATCACAGGCCAAGACTGACTGTAGATCAAGCATATGATACTTGATAGTGATTATAAGGAGACTACCACAAGAAGTCTGGCAAACATATGCATGGGAGGACCAAAATTGATGCAGGTACCTTCATCTTGTGTAGTGAAAAGCGCAAGCGTCTGATAAGCTACTCCCTCCTCTTTTTGACAGAGAACAGATGAGGACCATCTCATTACAGCTGTAAAGTTGTTTTGGACCTGCAAGTGTTTCCCATAAAATGGTGATCCTTCTTCTGTGGGTCACATCTCCAGTCCGGCACGGTCAGACCCATGACACTTCAAAGTGGCACGTCTTCAGTATGGCACCTAACACATACCATTCAATCCTCTACCCCACTTTCTCTCCCTAAACCCCACTGCCCTTCTTCCTTGGTATCCAATACAGCTGTTTGAGAGCAGCAAGCCTCTCTGGCCTGTCTTTATATATAGACACTGTACAGTAGGGGTATTCAATTGCGTGTAATTCAGGGTAACGGGAGTATTTTCACGTGGCTATTACATGTAACTCTCGTTCAACGTGTTTATGCATTACACATATTCAAGACAATTACAGAGACCTGTATCTCTCTCAGATCTCGCGAGATCGCTCTGAAACCTTCACCAATCGATTCAACGTGCTCGGAAACGCTTCTTGAGCTGATCAGATTACCATGACCACCCCCAACGACTTGTCCTCGGGAGTCTCCCTTCGACCCCTCTCTGTCCCTACCCCCCCTTCCCGTCCGTCCATTATTAGACCAAAGAATACTCCCACAGATGCCAATCCTTGTAATTTAGACGTAGAGAGACTCATAGAATTGGGTTCGGGTACAATTTTTTGGAAACCAACCTCAGTTCGTTGGGAGGACGATGGAACCTCGAATCAAGAAAGTTCGCTGGCCATGCTGCTAGATTGGCTCAACCAACCCAGCAATTTTGATCGATTTCGTAACGGCTACGAGCAGTATGATCAAAAGAAGGCCTCAGTATTGTGTGCTCAGTATTTATTTGGACAAAGATGTCTTACTTTGAGAAGTTGGACTGCGATTCGAAGGAAGGTTCGTAAATTTGCTTTTCACTCACTATCCCTTACTTCTCCTGTCCCCATCTTACCTCCTATGACAAATACACGTCTCTGATACACGTAAAGAAACACACGCCAATTTGGAGGGTTCGTCAGTCGTCCTAGGGACAGAACAGAGCCCAGCAAACATAGGAGAATAGGGGGTTAGAGGGTCATTTTTGTGAACTTCTGCCTGTCAAAAATCCAGAGGAGGGGTTAAACAATGCGCCAGGGCTGCCAAAAGGTTCCTCACACTGTACAGATCCTCCCCCAAGCCTTAAAAATTATGCGTACGGGGGTTACCTGGTCGCAGTGGAGGGCCAAAGGGGGAGGGGAGGGGGAAGGGATAGGGGGGGAAAAGGGGGGAGGGGGTATGAAGTGGATCAAGTTCTTCTTTGTGTTTAATCTCTGACTCATAGATTAACTCTCTCCACAGTCTATGGGCTAAAGCCTGGGCCGATCTCCATGCTACGGGAAACGGTCAGGATGGTCGCAAGCTAAAAGATGCGAGGCCAGAGAATAGAGAAGTGGTTCTTGAATCGGTATTGAGTAAGATCCCTTCTATCCCTTCTCCTCTCACCTCTGGGCGCTTTTTCTCTGTCTTTCATTGATTTGTTTGTCTGTCTTTCATCTTTTGTTCCTGTGGCTGATACTCAGACAATGCACGATCCAAATGTCCTCACTTTGATGAACTCACACGAATCTTTCAAGAAAGAGACTCAGGGGCCGCTCAACTTCGATCTGACTCTGCTTCAATGTCCAACCCAGCTCACGATCTTATTGCTCAGAGACTCGGTCTCTGTCGGCCACTTCAAGCAGCTCAAGCCCCTGCAGATAACACTCAATCCCTGCTCTCAGAGGATTCCCAGCCAATCTCGAATTGGTCCCCGTCTCCTGGACTTCAATCCCTTCATAATGACACTCTCGAGACAGGAGAAGATGAAGTAGGGGAGATCTCTAATCAAGATAACAGCTGGGGGCCTAATCAAACTGTATCTGATCAAGCCAGTCGTAGGTTGACTGTTTAAAAAGCTGAAATCCTGCTTACACATGTAGGAAAACGTTCTCGGGTATCAGACATATCTGCTGAGACGTCTTCTTTCCTCTCAGAGACACAGGAGTACAGGAAGCAGAGACAACGCTTTGCACAAGAGGGTTTGGAGATCCAACGACAGCAGCTAGAGGATACTCAACAGGCCAGGAGATTGGAGAAAGAGGAGAAGGAAAAAGACAGAGAAGAAAGGAGAATTGAGAGACGGCTGAAAAGGCAAGACGCACTTCGAGATCTATACATGGAGAAGGAGGGGCTATCATTGGATGAAGCAACAGATTGAGCCATAGCTGCAGTTCAGCGGGACGAAATGCGAAATATGTAAAGGGAATTTTACATACCTAATTAGTTGCTTGAGATGTTATCAAGATCTACCTCTTCAGGACAAATCTCCAGCATTTCGTCCACCAATCGTTGCCTCCGTTGCTGGGCTGGCTCGCTATTGATGTATGCTAGGGGATTGACTGCTTGACGTTGCTGAGTCATGTAATCGTCCCCCAAAATCTCCTCGAGCTCTTCTTGGCTGAGATAATGCTTCCAAGTGCTGACCAAAAGATTATGAAGAACGAATGCAGCCTGTATGTAAAGCTGGGCCATAGCTTCCCCTGCTTGATCTTTGACAGCTAGTCGAGCATGACGAAGCATTTGCCATCGTCCCTTGCAGATACCAAAGGTGTGCTCAATATTGTACCGAGCCGCAGCTGCTTTTAGGTTGAACCAAGCCTAATAGTCAGCAAAGGGATGAAATCGAAGTGATGACGGCCATTGATAGTCAAGAATGTCTGCTCACCTTCTTCCCTCGCAGAGTGGAGTGATTCCTGTCTTTCTTAAACATAGCAATGATATTTGGTGTACACTCCATCCCTCTGTCTCCGATAACAAGTTCTCCTTGACTAAAATACTGCTCAGGTGTCCTGTGCAGACTGCATTCGTGTTGAACTCGAATATCAGATGCTCTTGCTGAATGGCCGAAGTGGGCGTAGGTTATCCGTTTGTAGTGGTCGCAGACGGCGAGAATATTGAAGCCGTAACGGTTCTTATAGGACCAGAAGTCTGATGCAGCTTCATGTCCTCGAGAGGGGGCTTGAGCGAGATTGATATGTGTACCGTCGATAAAACCGACGCAGTGAGGTATACCGTATTGTCGCTGGATTTCGGTAGCAATTCGAGCCCGTGCATCACCCTGAGGCCAGGATATGTACTGCTGGTATGTACGAGTGATAGCTAATAGAGCACGACGGCAGCAATTGTCTATAGTTCCAACTGATAGTTAGCAATTTGATAACAGAGGGGTTGAAGGCGAAAATCTACCTGGAAATTTCCAGAACCGTGAGAGTTCACTAACTTCTTGCCCGTGGGCGAGGCGATTGATACAGATGGCTAGCTGAACGTCTGGAGGGATCATGGGCTTGGTACCTCGAGTGTGTAAAGCAGGATCGTCCCCAAAAAGATTGATGATACGAGAAAATTCGGTTTGACTCATTCGCAGAAGGATTTTGAACTCCGCTTCACTGGTATCAATCCGATCACCAATAAAAAGCTTGTAGTCATGCTGTTTATACCCATGATTGGGCTTGGTGCGCTGCAGATAACGGCGTTGCTCGACTTGTTGCTCTTTGATGGAGAGGTTACCATGGAGAGTAACAAACGGTTCGATAGGCAGTAGGGGCTCAAGCCGACGCTTTTCCTTGCGGATTTCACGCAGTAATTCGGATCTAGGGGTTGAGTGAGGCATGTGGGCGAGATTTGGAGGCTGGAGAAAGCGGGAATGCAGAGATACAATGAGTAAAAGTGTATACCCATGAGAAAAGTAAGAGGAGAGTTGGAAGATCAGTCGCGAAAAGTGTTTACGTAAACATGCATTACGTAAAATTAATCTGTGTAACTAATGGGGTTCAAATATGCGACTACCATCATTACAAAACCGTGTAATCGCCCCTGAGCAATTGAATACCCCTAGTATGACCGGTAGCTACCAAGCTATGCATGAGGATTAGGTTTGGGAGATGTGTAATTGGCACAATATGGGTTCCTTAGGGGGTCACATCTTCAGCCCATTAGATTGACCCTCGTGACCTTTCGAAGTCTCACGGTGTTTGTTCGTCCCTGACAATTTTTAGATCTGCGTAAAATCAGTGCTGGAGACTACATATTGTACCCACAGGTCTCTTTGTCCTGTTATGGGGCTGTACATTCATACTTCTCCAAAGTGTCCCCAATTAATCTGTATGCCTTCATGCGGGCACAGTTTGTCCAGTTGAAAATGAGACACACTTGTAATGTGTATGTCACCCACGTTAAAGTCTTAGAAGACTGCAACCCATGCCAACTGTAAGAGGCATGCCTTACACAAGTGTTGAAAATAGTACAACCAGCACGGATGCAATTGGGGATTCCCACTTTTACATAGCTGTTAACAACAAGGCAACTGATATGTGTTACGGGGTAACAACGAATCGAGAGGACTCTATCGAGTTCGACGGATTAGGATGGAGGAAAGCGGGAGTTGGAGGCAGTGCTGCAGTAGGTAGGGACGGGTTTTCCCCTTTCGAGATTTTCCCCACTGGGTTTGCTCAAAGCGGTTTTTCACCTGTCCGAGTATGTACATGGACGCTTGCAGTAGGACTGAGAAGAGGAGACGGATACCTGTAGACAGTATATAGTACAATCAGCAAAGTACCAACTTTGCTGATTCTTCAATATCATTCTTTGGCTACATCGATTGCAGAGGAGACACGATCCATTAGCACCAGAGCCCCTAGATTTCCACGAGACATCCATCGAGTTCGACCCAACCTGCGACCTAGTCGTCGTGTTTCCAGTACCGTTACAAGTTGAAGAATCAGCCTTACGCACCTTGGGTCGAATTGGAGAGTACTGTATGCTCACCAGAGGGAAAGCGCGGAAAATGATACCAGAAAAAGAGGAGTTGGAACAAGGGCTGGTCCCAGAGGAGGAAATACCAACAAGTTCTTCGAGAAGTACCATTTCACATGATCTCACTTCTACCACCACTACCCCAGATCCGCTAAATGAATTATCGCAGCAGTTGTCACAATTGTTAGCCATTATGACGATGCAACAAAAGGAACAAAATGCATTAAGGGAAGAACTGGCTACGATGAAAGCTGACCGACAGAACCAACAGCTACTCACATCGAAAGGGGCAAGTTCGATCGAAGTCGAAGAAAACAAGCCGTGTTTGGAGCCAAAACTTACCAACAACAAACGAACAGGAAGAACCAGGTGTGCGGATCCACCCACCTTCAGTGGAGAACGAGGAGAATTGGACAACTTCCTTGCAGCATGCCACATGAACTTCGAATTCAAAGGGGCAGAGTACGCCACCGATCGCAGAAAGATCCTGTTCATGTACGGGTATCTTCGAGGCACCCCTCAAATGCTTATAACCCCGGCCATAACCAATCCAAGTATATGGAATTCGACCAAATGGCTAGAGAGCTACGACAAATTCATCCAGCATTTGCGAACTCAATTTGGAGACAGTAACATGGCAGGTACGGCTATGAGGAAATTGCAGGAGTTAAGACAGACTGATACGGCCGCCGAGTATTTTGCCAACTTTGAACTTTGGTCCACACACCTTGGAAAGGTACCCGATGCAATGAAAATCGCCTCAGCCATACAGGGCCTGAAGGAAGAGCTACTGAAAGTGGTAGTGGTAAATAACACCGACCCTCGAACCAAATCGGACTGGATCTATTTCAAACAACATGTGATAGGGACTGAGGAGAACCAACGAATGGCTGAAACGATGATTGCAGCGAATCGATGGGCTGCTAGACGCAAAAATGAGACGACCTGGCTTCCCCCTCGATTGAATTCGATGCGATTGGATACTAGTCCGGCCAACCCGGTAGAACGCCACTCACAATCGACTGGTAGAGGACCCTTGCCTGGTGGAAAACCAGGGATGATGAATTATGGTCTACCAAATGACCCTCCGGTCACTTGGACAGAGGACGGAGGACGTCTCAGCGAGAACGAAATGACTTGGAGGAGGGCGAACCGACGTTGTCTCAAATGTAGAAGTCCAGAACATTACGCCAACAACTGTCCAAATGGAGGAAATACGAGGAACAACATTAAGGGATCCCCAAACCCGCATAGCTCACCAATTCCTAGTGGATCAAACTCGATCCCAACTGGATCCAAAGGGCCATTAGTTCGAGGAATGGCGGTGACCTTTGAAGAAGAGGGAAACGAATACCTGGCCTAAGTGATGCGACCACTTGCGGCCAGGATCTAACAGAATCGCACAAAATTCAACTACCAATAGATCTCAGTAATGACTCGGCTATAATATACATAAAGATACAGACAGAAGAAGATACCCTACGATTTGGAATGTTAATTGATACCGGAGCTACCGGAAGATACGTACAGCCGGCCTGTCCATTATACCATTTATTTCCAAAGAGACAGTATCAGGAACCACGGAAGATCAGATTCCTCGATGGAACAACCGCGACGTTAGTGACCGAGTATGTAGAAGCTGAATTGGATTTAGGAGAAGGACTCAAAATTGCGACTCGATTGGATGTGATGGCATACGAAGGCCCCGAGGTACTGGTGGGATTGGACTTCTTGAAACAGTTTCGGGCAAGGATCGATTGTGGAAAGGGATTGATCGAGTTCGATGGAATCGGACAGGATAATGGTTGGAAGTATCCAAGATTGGAGGAAGGATTGGTAAGAGGAACAGCATTGGAAAAAGGAGAAGATGAAATGAGCGAGGAGGAACTACGACAAGTCATACCGACACAATGGCACCAGTATCTAGAACTATTCAAGGTGGAGAGAGCAAGAAGATTACCACCAAGAAGAGAATGTGATCACGAAATCGAGTTAACACCAGGGGCAGAACTGAAGCCGGGCCCAATATATCAACTAGACGAACATGGGGACGCATTCCTAAAGCAGTGGATCAATGACGGTTTGGCCAGCGGCCATTTACGAAGGAGTAAATCACCTTATGGATCTCCTGTATTCCTGGTTCCGAAAAATGGAGTGATTCCCTATCGAGTGGTAACGGATTATCGGGCGCTTAACAAGGTAACCGTTAAGGATTCATACCCAATGCCACTCATCTCGACACTACTCGATCGACTTCAATTAGGAAGGATCTTCACTAAACTCGATTTGAAAGGGGCTTACCAGTTAGTCAGAATAAAGGAAGGAGATGAACATAAAGCTGCCTTACAAACAAGATACGGCAGTTTCGAGAGCACAGTCCTAAGGGATGGGTTGTGTAATGCACCAGCCACCTTTCAGAACTTTCTACAAGACATGTTTCACGATCTACTTGACGAAGGGGTAGTAGTGTATATCGACGACATCACGGTATACTCCGACACGATCGAAAACCATCAGATGATTGTCCAAAAGGTGTTAGATCGACTACTTGAAAACGATTTGGTCGTCAGTCCGAGGAAATGCGAATGGAGTTCAAATGAAGTGAAGTTCCTGGGGTATGTAATAGGACACGAACGGATCGAAATGGATCAAGAAAAGGTGAAAGCTATTCTAGAATGGGGAGAACCCATGACAGTCCGGGATACTCAAGTGTTCTTGGGCTTTGCGAATTTCTATCGGAGGTTTATCAAGGGGTTTTCGCATATTGTGGGACCTCTCACACGATTGACCAGGAAGGATCAGGCTTGGAACTGGACACAAGAATGCCAAAAGGCTTTTGACGATCTAAAGAAAACATTCACCACAGCACCTGTCACGCCTGCGGGTAGACTGCGGTTGCAAAGTACTGCCTTGGGTACTGAAGGGTTTTAGTCTCTGGCTCGTAGAGCTTGATGACTGCCTTAGGTACTGAGGGTACTGAGGTGTTGGGTTAGAACCACCTAGGTGACTTTCAAAGATGAAGTTCAACTTCAAGATGAAGATACATTGCTGAAGAAAGAG